GGGTATAGGACAGGGGTCTCAAACTCAATTTACTTGAGGGCCGCCAAGACGGAGCCTTAGTGAGTCCGGGCCGCATCAGTTTTTTCACAATAAAAGCATTAAACTTAAAAAGTTAAATCTTTTCCTCTGTTTTTCTATACGCAAAACATGTCAAAAACATAATAGGCCGCGAGCCGAGGCCATGAAAAAACGCATAGAAAGTGAGTTTCGTAGCGCACATCAGGTAACTACCTGAAAATGATTTTAAAATGTTCCTTAAAAATGTAGTAACAAATATTGCCTTGTTCCCACTTCCAAAAGTTGCACGTTTTACGGAAAAGACGCTTTTACTACAAGAAATCTGTGCTACGATCTGTCCTATATTCTCTACATTTTCGGCAATGAATTCTGCATGACGTAACAATTGAATCGAATCAGCTGTTAGCGAGCGGATGAATATTAGTTATTACTGCTCGACCTTGCGTTGAGTTGGGCAGCCTTTCCACAGCCCTGTTTAGTTATTATTAGTTAAGTTATGCTAAGGCGTTGTTGAAAAATGTATAAGTAAGTTATTAAACACTTGTAGATCCTTACAACGGATATGGGCCGTGAGACGAAGCCTTGAAAACGCCCAGAAAATGAGTTTCGTAGCGCACATCTGGTAACTGAATAAATTCTTCAGTTTAGTGTGAAAATGAACATACTGAACGCATTACAGCTTGTTCCACAATCCTGATGCGAAATTGAATATAAGAGGTTCCCGGAAATTCAATAACCATAAGTTCACAACACATACATAAGAACTATGCATTCGAGAGCCCTACAGCACACTAACACCAAATGTATTCCTGTAATGTTTTGCCTGACCAAAATCGGACTTCCTCAGTCAATCATTAATTTATTAGGTAGATTATGAAAAATATGGCATACGTGTAACCAACAACAAAAATACTTTAAATTGTGTGACAGGAGTGGCGAGTGACCTCGAAAGCAGCGACACAACAACGCTGATTCACATTAGCGAATAAATTTTATGTAATAACCACAAGCAGTTTACAACAAGAACAGCATAAAAAGCTACATCCATTTTATAGAAGCTATCAAACGGATTTATTTTTAAGCAATGAAGTCACAAATAACATAGTGAGCACGAAAACACAAATAAATCAGTTATTTCTCACTTAGAAATTTACCAGAAAAGTCAAGAAAATTGTATAATATGTACATAACATAGTGAACAGAAATATTACAAGTAGTCTTTTTTTAGTTTATGTGGGTATGTATTTGAACAAAGGCAATATTATTTCTAGGAACAGGACTACGACACTAACAAATGTTTGAAAAAAAAACAAATAAATGATACTTATTAAAAATCAACTGCAATATCTAATTCACTTTCTTCTGAATTGTTTTCGAAATCCACTATCTTGAAAATCGACTTTTCCTCTATAAGTGTACTGTGATTTTTGCAGTCAATACAAAAATCTGTGCAATTTAAGTTGATTTTGGCACACTTGCATAAATTATTTTGACTATTTTTTTTACACTTGCGTTTGCCAACTCAAGAACTGATTTGAGGGCCACATGCTTCTTCAGTGAATCATTGTTGGATATAATCCCTATGTTTGCCAGTGTTAAATAGACGTGCCTTGGTATCATTTACATTCTTCATATCCTCTTCATACAGTGAACAAACAAATTCCTCAGCTTTATTTATTAATGCCTCGTTAACCTCAAAAGATCTTCATAGTTGAGAAAATATGAAATGAAAACCACAATGAAGTCTCCAACATGAGTTTGATGGGCAGTTCCAATTGCAGAAAAGTGCTAAAGTATTTCAATATGAATAGCCCATCTAAGCTGTTTGCAACTATTATGATTCTCATATACCTTTACGCTTCAAGACTTCTTGTTTAATTTATTTTATAGCAGCAGGGATTAGAGCCGGCATTAGGTCGGATTGGTGGAACATTGCCGTCTTCTTTTGTAGTACAGTATCTAAAATGAGGAAGAAAATCATATTTGGAACAGCATGAGTGTAAAATTACCACTAAATACTAACTAATACCTTGAATACATAATGCATTTTATAATGCATTTTATTATGTTATGACATATTATTCTAGGTCTAGCCTTCCTTGGAATTACCGCACCGTACCTATTCAACAACGTCTTATGAGCTAGTGCTCAACTAAAATTGCTATTAATGGTAAGAATATACAAGTGTTTAATATCTTACTTATACTTTTCAACACCTCCTTAGAATAACTGAACTAATAATAACTGAAAAAAAGACTATGGAAAGGCTACTCAACGGAAAAGCAAGCAGTAGTAGTACATCTGATATTCATCCGACCACTGGGGATTCACCTACAGCTGACTAATTCGATTGTTACGTCATGCAGATGTCTGCGTTCATTGGCCCATGATACCGAAAAAGCAGAGAAAGTAGGACAGATGGTAACACATATTTATTGTAGTAAAAGTGTATTTTCTGTGAAACGTGCAACTTTTGTAAGTGGGAACAAGGCAATATTTGTTACTAAATTTCTAAGGAACATTTTAAAATCATTTTCTGGTAGTTACCTTATGTGCGCTACGAAACTGAAAGATAAATGGCCTAGGCTCGCGGCCTATATGTACGTGTCAAAAACTATCGGAAAATCTAGGTGGAAAGCTGGGAACAAAAGAGAGTTTTTTGATACGTAGTCTAATTCGACACGAGAAGAAATGAAATGTGTTGATTTTGCACCCGCTAGGTGGTGCTAAAGTGGTATTTTTACTTACTCTCTTTGATTTTACTAAAAAAGTTTCTATGTAGGGCAGGCTATCAAATGTTCTTGGAATGGAAAATAAATCTATGTTGGGTAAATGGGCACAAACGCTTGCAGCGTTCGCTATGGACCTTTCTCGAGGTTTTGCTCATTTTCCCGATCTTTTCGTCGCCCTTGTCTGTGTTTTTATTTTGTGTTCCGTGTTGTCAAGTTGTAGACGAAAGATTAAAATAAAATTGTACCGGTATTGTACCGGTATTACAGTATTATGGGATGCAATGCAATTTGAGAGCAGTTTTCAAATGTAAGGTATTGGGGTGCATGGGTTTGATGGACAGTGGATGCAGAAATGATATTATGCAAGATCAACACGTTGATGAGGTTTTAAATAAATCCATCATGCTATAATATCTGAATATCAACTTTCCAATACAGTCAATAAGATCGATACTCTGCAACCACTGGCAATCTCATGACATTGATTATGTAACAGATTTCATTGTAACAGATTACCGTATTTAGTAATTTGTGTAAAATGTCTACTTTTTTCTAAGAAAATTACATAGCCTATCTAGATGGAAAATGTAGAAATCACCTAATTGCATGCTAGGTGTTTTTCTGATTATTTATCTGATTCTTCAAAAAATTTGTTTTTAAAAAAATGCTAATGATGGATAAATTGATTATTTATATTATATATTATAACTGATGATAATGGGAAAATTACGGTATGTCTCAACTTCATTCACAAATGGACATACTTCTGTACTTCAGGGACATACTGCAGTACTGACATATGGTAGACTAAATGTATCTGGTCTGAATTATTTAATATTTGTCTTATCTTTTCATTGTATACTTATTCATTGTATGAAATCACATAAATTACATTACAAAAATAAAATTTGGGCCTCATGCAATAATATTGAAATATATATTGGGTTAAACCAAAACTATCATTTTTATAAATCGGATTTTGGCAATGGATTTGACTTTGGCAAAAAAAAAAAGTTCTTGAGATAGTTTTAGGTCCGTTTTGATAGGTTTAGGTGGATATTGTACCCCATTACAATAATTTATGATCCGTGACGTTAAAAAAATACAAACAAACAGGCTTCCAGAACCACAGTACGGTAACATTGGTCAATGAAAACACCTCTCCCAGATATACTGACTGGTAAATCCGGGTCTAACGAAGTTAACGGCGTACATTCCATTCAGCTGACATTCCATCCAGACATTTGACAGTTTGCTGATTCTGTGATTTGTCAAACAGACATTATTTTGACACCAAAATCTGAAAATTGACATCACCACCATGTTTGGTGTTATTCAGTTATTTGAGCAGTTACAGAGCAGGTACCCGCACCGCATGCTGGTATGGCCTTCATTTCACATCACATTGGCATAAACTTCGCTAGACCCAAAAATCCCACCAGATCCATGTAATGATAAAAACCAATACTTTATTTATTGTAGTAAATGGCCTCAGTTTATTCAAAATCTAGCTCGGCAGTGTGGCGTATCGTGCTAAACTGCTAAGCATTATAGCGTTAAGAATACGCTCGCTACGGTATCTCTGGTTACCCTGCCTGCGTGGGTTCGTAGGTTCTACATGCATATCACTATTGCTCCTAACTTTCGTTCTGTTCTATAGTGTAATATATTTATAATATACTTTGCAAATGTCCCTTGACTCAGTGACTATTGGTATTTCTGTATTTATCTAGATACTGCAAATGGCAGAATGGTATTACTAGAAATTCTACTTGAATATTCTGATATTAAATGAAAACTCAACTATTCACACATATAGACTACCGGTATATAGTTGTGTTTTCATCTAATATCAGAATACTCATAGGAGCAATAGTCTGATTTATGTAGGTTCGAATCCCATGCGGGGATAGTTACGTGCGAGAGGATTGCTGGACTCCTTGCTGCCGTAGGGGGGTTCACGTAACCGTTGGTCGGTTACAGCTTCCTCCACCATCAAGTCCATGCTTCCTGAAAACAAATAACTAACTTATCACATACCCGACATGGAATGGTAACCGGACGAGAGGCCGTGGTTTGCCATATGATTAAGTCGTCTTATCGCCTTTCCTCTCCCCTGGGATAAATATGTAAATTCTATCCTAGGAATTAGAGAATTATACTTACCCTATCATTTGTTTTGTTGCGAAGAGCGGTGAAGTCTGACATGGATGGATGCACTCTAGTTTGTTATTATATTACAGTAATATGCTAAATTTATTTATTTCTTTATTAGTACACTGCCTTGCCTGAATTCTGAAATTGCTGCAATGACGATATATAGTGTATTTGTTATTAATAAAGCAGGAGGACTAATATTCCAGTATGATCATCACAAGCCAGTCATCGAAATGGAAAAGACTTTTGGGTTTGTGAAACATTATTATACAATTATACCTGTTCACCTCTTTAAGTAAATTACTATGTAATATAGGCTGTTTGGAAATGGCAAAACCAGCAACAGTTCGTGACCTGTCAAACTGTGGTTACTTTTATGGTTCTGCTGCATAAGCAATGCTTCATTAATTTGTACCGAATTCAGACAAACCGTTTCTAAACCAAAGTAGTTTCTTTCTTAAAAATGTTTTGTATGCATTCCTATGTCTCACCGACAAATGCTGCTTCTGAAATGTTAAACTATAGCTTCCAAGTTTTTGCAATAATCTATAACTCATGTCATTCAAATTGTTTAACTCTGCACCCAAGTATTCACACACCCGAATTATCTTTCATGTATTTTTATGAATTTACTTGAGTGTGTTGTTTGCTGTTTAGGGTGAGAGTGGTCACATGTATCAGCACGTCTTAGATCTTTTTAGAATATTTCAATTTTCCCAATGTTCCGTATGTTTATTTGATTTGCCCTGTATTGTTTCTTTGTTTTGTTGTAACAGAAAATCAAAATAAGCTTACATATTTACTTACTAGATTCCCGCTCGAGTTGAAGTTGGAAGAGCAATCTGAAGGAATCACTGTCATATTTGGACAAAGAGATGGAATAAGAGTGGGTCACATCATATTATCAATCAATGGCAAACCTGTCCAAAGTGGGAAAGTAGATGGCATCCCCGTTATGGAGGTACAGTTCTATACTATTCCATATTTATGAGTCTTTTCTCATACTTTTCTCTCATTTTACGGTGCATGTTCACTAAACGCTGTAAGTTCTTCTATTTGGCGTGGCACAACCATTTTTGAGTATGTTATTCCTAACCCCTACAATGGCTCCGTCATCCAAAGATTACGTCACTACGACCTCACAGTCACGACAAAGAGCTTGCCAAAGTATAGCAACGATCGCCCAAAATGGCATCTTTGCCATCGATAACGAACTCACTTATGCCAGCAATCTCTCTCATATCGGGATCGTTGCGGCGAGAAAATGAGAGAAATAGCTTGCTCTATTTCGGGTGATCGTCTGTACGTGTTGGATGACAGTTAGTATAGTTTGGGGTCATTATTACATTACTGTGATGTTGTGGTGACATAATTTTGGAATGACGTGGTCAGGTCGTGGCTAGGAATAACATATGCAAAAACGGTCATGCCACGCGCACGCCAGCTAGAAGTACTTACGCCGTGTTGTGAACACCTTATCATATGTACGGTAGTTATTTATACATCAATATCAGAGCAAAATTCACTGCTTCAACCAGTCTTCAACCTATCATAACTTCCTGTAATTTATATCAAGGTAACTCTCGAATCAAGATTTTTCTTGTTAAAATAATGTTTCTATAATTAATATTCAGACAATTAGTAAGAAAGAAAATTATCCGCTCAGCATCAAGTTTGGTAGACCAAAACTTTCTTCAAATCAGAAGATAATGCTAGCGAGCATGTTTCACTCATTATATGCCATCAGCGTTCAACTTTCTCCAAAGAGTGGAAGTTCGGGAATTGAAAAACTTGAAACTGATGTGTTTACATTGCACTGCAAACAAACACTCACAGGAGTAAAGTTTGTTGTCATTTCTGATAATAAGCAAGTAGGTACTTTAGTTCGTTTCTATACCATCCAACAACTTACTATACTACCAGAACCTTTATTTATCGGAGTAGAATTGGGGGAAAGTTATGTATATATCTTGTCATGAATTCAATAACGTATTGTATATGTTTGCATGCTGGTTCAGACCAGGCTGATGCATATTTTCTATGTTGTACTTGAGGAAAATACATTCAGCTCGGTTGTAGCTTTCCAAAGTTTGGACTTTGTATCAGTGTTAACTCTAAGCGAATTATGAGTGCGAAAGTGCTTCGCAGTCGAAAAAAAAAAGTGCGAAAGTGCTTTTGCCGATTTTACCAAGTTAGGTGCCCTAGCCTTTCATATAACCCATTTAAAACGCATAGATACTCGAAAAAGCGCTCCTCCGGTTAATATTATGAATTAAAGAGAAGCCTTTCGTTAACCGAGTTCCCTTTAAGCGAATTCATGTTTAATTAAAACAAGCGAATTCATCGGCAACGAAATGACATCTGCTAACACCTGCCGCGGACAAAACTTTCATGCAATGTATCACGGTGTCAGTTGCTTACTCGCAACAGGCTTTCACATTTGTTACTCCTTCCATCTAACAGACACGAGATACGCAGGCTGGAAACCATATTAGTTACAGGGTGGATCGTTTGTACAAATCCCGTGCAAAATAATCCCCCCCCCCCCAAATATAAATAGCAATCAACTAATTAGGGTTAGGTGCGCTGGAAATTCAACTTTTCGATTTATCCCTAAACCTAATCTGATAATTATTAATTTGTGATTTTGAACCACTTTGAAAGTCGCCACCCGCTGTTTTAAAAGATAGGTTAACCTACGTTCCCTCCGAAATATTACGCAGGATACTCCCCTGTTTTAGGAGATAGGTTGACCTACTTTCCTTTCAAACTTTTTTCTCCGAAATATTACACAAGATCACTTTGAAAATCCTCCGTTTCGTGAGCTAGCGTGACCTAATTTCTCATTTACATTTATATTATACTATTTCAGAGCTTACCCAAAGACAAGTAATTTTTAAATGTCGACATGCCTTGGTTTGCGTGCGAGTTAGTCGGGCAGAAAACATCATATATTGGCAAAATGTTTAGTAATGTCATGTACTTTCAGCATTCATAAATAGCACTCTTTGTAATGCTGCTGACCTAGTATCAAATATTCGCATCACAACGCCACTTGCGAGGTTTCCATATATTTCAATTACACTAATAGGAACGATGACACCAAAGAGTTTTCTTTTGCGAAGGTACACGAAATATAACGAGGGTGATTCTTGAAAAAACATGAATATAAAAATAAACGAATGATATGATAGTGGATCCCAAATAATTTTGAGAGTGTCTCGAAATACCAATCCATTTGATAAATAATTTTTATTCGACCACATGAACGCTGATATCCTGAAAATTAATGTTGAAAGAGAATTACGCATTCTCAGATATCGGACATCCAGTCGCGATATTCAATCGTTTATATGCACAAATCTCACATTAATAGTAATTGCTACCCAAGTTTGTAAAGTTTAGAAACCAACAAACAGAAAATAACTTATACCTAAAACACAATTAAAATTCAGTCGGCAATAAATTCGTCGCCAAGACGATGCCATACAAAACAAAAAGATTTGGTCGCGAGAGTTACGTTAGATGCTGCCGACGTTGTTTTTTAAGCAGAATGTAAAAAATCAAATTAAAAAACGGGAGTTACGACGCCCTTACACATCGTGTGTATTAAACTTCCCTGGTAAGTACTATTATTATTGTACTTATACACCTGTTGGAGTATTTCGGACAATTTCGAATTTAAAATAAATGAAAACCCGACATATAATAAAGACGCAAAAGTAAAATGAACATTTATTGAAAAAGTTATTATTTAAGAAAGACAACATGATCGTACAATTCCGCCAAAACCTCGATGTTCGCAAGTGAGATGATAAATAAATACTTCCCTGTATTCGATCAATTAACTTTAGCGTATCGTTGTTCTGCCAACAAACAGCCGGGTGCAAAATATTTCCGTCCTGTGATATGCTCACAAATATTCTCGATATTATATCATACCCTCGCGTATGTACTTTCTATTAGCTCTTTAGTGATCCCTTCCATCCTTGGCCAAGTCATGTTTCGAATATGTGAACATTTTATTCGACCATACATGGCCGGCGGGATGTTAAAATTGTAAACAAGAGAGAGGTAAAATCAATCGCGAATTTCGTTATAACGGCTCGTTTACGAATTGTTGCGCCTGTTATCGTCGAAAATGATTACATTTGTTGTATTTTGAGGCATTTAAGCAGTAATAATTAGGGCATGACATCATCAAAATCGTCAAGTGAGATCTTGAAATTGCAAATTCCGTAAATAAAATTGTGAATTATTGGTAACGAATTCAGCTTTAATGACCGTCGGGGTATTGTTTTGTTGAAAATTATTATTAATGTGAGAGCGCCAAAAACATACAGTCCATACCGATGCGACTGCAATTTATATGGCCGCAATTGGTGTGGCGCATTTATTAATAGTGTAAAATAAATTAAACGAATATCAATTATAACCAAGCCTGTCAGCGTGTTTATTTTCTGTGGGCAGAATCGTAAAATACCATCTTGAGACAAATTCACTTCTATTAAAATCTTAATTTTCAGTTATTATCGTTATACAAATAACGTGTGGCAACTTTTTAATTTATCGTCGACCAAAAAACCGCCCCACACTCGCCAAACGTGTGTCGAGCTTGAACGACAGGAACAATTCATCGACGACTTTAATTAGGGAAAATATGTATTTTATTGGGAATGCAAAATAAATGTAACAAAACGCATTTTTTGTGATATAACTTTGTATTTTCGGAAACGGGTTGCCGTGAAAGGTAAAATTTGATCTAAATTAACCGCGTTAAAATCGTCAAGTGAGATCTTGAAATTGCAAATTCCGTGAATAAAATTGTGAATTACTCGGTAACGAATTCAGCTTTAATGACCGTCGGGGTATTGTTTTGTTGAAAATTATTATTAATGTGAGAGCGCCAAAAAGATACAGTCCATACCGATGCGACTGCAATTTATATGGCCGCACTTGGTGTGGCGCGTTTATTAATAGTGTAAAATAAATTAAACGGATATCAATTACAATGTTCCCTCTAATTTCTTGTAGTATGTGTGCGCAGAACTTTTGGTATGTGCGCACTTTTTTGGAAACGGCTAATATTTGTGCAAAAACCAATGAAGAAATTTTGGCGTTCTAACCGGGTAATGGGTGGGCCAACGACAAACTTTCTCAACCTGCCAACCGAGAAAATTGTTACATTACATCGAAATACGTCTGTGCGCAGTAAATCTATGCGTGTGCGCAGCCTCTGAAAGCTGTGTGCGCGCGCACACGCGCACACCTTAGAGGGAACACTGATCAATTATAACCAAGCCTGTCGGCGTGTTTATTTTCTGTGGTCAAGAATCGTAAAATACCATCTTGAGACAAATTCACTTCTATTATAAAAACTTAATTTTCAGTTATTATCGTTATACAAATAACGTGTGGCAACTTTTTAATTTATCGTCGACCAAAAAACCGCCCCACACTTGTCCAAACGTGTGTCGAGCTTGAACGACGGGAACAATTTCATCGACGACTTTAATTAGGGAAAATATGTATTTTATTGGGAATGCAAAATAAATGTAACAAAACGCATTTTTTGTGATATAACATTGTATTTTCGGAAACGGGTTGCCGTGAAAGGTAAAATTTGATCTAAATTAACCGTAAAAATGTTTTATTTTAAATGTAACAAAACACATTTTGCGATATAATCTTGTATTTTCGAAAACGAGTGTCCTGAAAAGTAAACTATGATCTAAATTAATCGCAAAAATGCTTTATTTTAAATGTTACAAACACATTTTCGCGATATAACCTTGTATATTCGGAAACGGATGTCGTGAAAAGTAAAATATGATCTAAATTAATCGCAAAAATGTTTTTATTTTAAATGTAACAAAACACATTTTTCGCGATACAACTGTATTTTCGGATACCGGGTGTCATGGAGAGTAAAATATGATCTGAATTAACCGTAAATAATGTTTCATTCCAAATGTATCGCATGGTTGCAAAACGCATTTTTTGCAATATAACTTTGTATTTTCGAAAACGGGGCGTCATTATTAATATAATGTTTTATCTATCGTCTGACTAACGTCTGGTACACATCATATTCGGGGAGAACTCCAGCCCGCGAAAGGTCATTTAATTTAAAATAGAGAACGTTTCACCCATTCCTAAACGGAAAATCGCCAGTAAGTCGACAGGGATTCAACCCTCCGGATTCAGTATTCTATATCCCCGTGTCAGAACTTTCTGAAGAATGGAACAAAAAACCCGTCAAACCGCCTCGGAAGAAGGGGAGTATTTTTTGCACGAATAATTAGGGCGTGACATTATCAAAATCGTCAAGAAACTGGTGAATTTGCAAATTCCATAAATAAAATTGTGAATTGCTGGGAAACATTTTAGCTATAATTATCGCCGGGGTATTGTTTTGTTGAAAACACGTTGAAACTTGAGCACTCGAAAAAAAAGCACCCGAGCCCAATCTTTTTAGCATTAAGTCGCATACGTAAAATATCCTGTAAAAGAAGTGCTGTTCATTAACGTCATCTCGTCTTATGACCACGCAGAAATGCCTTTATTGCCGAATTATTCAATCACTATTTTAAATCAACATTCAGGATTGGCACAATTTCGGATTTGCGAACTTTATCACCATAGAAAAACATGAGAAAGTTAATTATCGTCTTAATAAATATCTGCATCACGGTATCGTCAATACTATTACCATTTGCATAAAATTGGGACGGTAAATATACAAATCTTGATAGGTTTTTAAAGCAAACGCAAATGTTAATTTGAGTCCTCAATGTCTTCAACAGCTGTTGCCGATGTGAACCAACGGGTAAACCCGAAATATAAAAACTTCGATGTCCGCCGACCCGCAAGAATTCATATTTGTAAAAAAGAGAGGGCGGGAATATAGATTACCAAAACCTGGATATCGCCGCCAAAACGATCGGCTGACAAGAACAATTAGCGATTACAACGGAATAAACCAGTAAAAACGCTTTGTTGCAGATTTTTTACCGGACGTTCCAAAAAATATTCGTTATTCGGTACTCGGTTATAAATATTCGATTCAAAAAGTATTGAATTTTGCCCACCCGTACTCGTATATCAATAAGAAATAGTTGTGTAAATATCGCAAATTCCGGAAAATGCCACGTGCTTTCAACATTGTGATTACAATAAAATGGCACTTAATGGTATTTTGTGAATTTGGTGATTTTGCAAATCTGTGACATGCAGCTAAAAGTTTCGTCTGATTTGAAAATCGTGCACTTTGGTCACAATTCATCCAAAGTGACTATAACACTTTACTAACACTTTTATAGTCATTTTGAATTCATCGATATCATTGATAGTCACATGACCACTCTCGTTCAAAGTAGAGATGTACCGATGTATCGGTATCGGGTATCGGTATCGGCAATATCGGCCATTTTTTCAGTATCGGCCATGTATCGGTATCGGTTAGATTAAGGCCGATATTTCCGATATATTTATCTTTTTAATATGGTCCAGAATGTTTTAAAATATAAGTTGGAATACTACTTTTTAATTTATTTTTTGTCTGGAGAGATCGTGAGCTATGAGCCATACATGTCCCTACCCCCGCTGAGAGAATATGATTCACGATATTTTTAGCTATTTTCGCTGTCAAATTTTATATTGACATTTTTAATATTACATAGTAATTATGAAGAAATATATCAACACGGCACATAACAAAAAGCAATTAGGCGCCCAGTTTTAAATCATACAGTGGAATTGGGGTCCTTATTAACGGCACATGGACTTTTTGGCACCGGGTATAAATTCTGACTGTTTGTCGTCAAGTACGAGTGTCATTTAGTCCGACGACATCGATAAACTAAATTCCGACACCAATTATCCCTCTACGCAGATATTAATTTTGTTTAACAACACAATTTCTTTATAGATATATTGACATGACCGCCTAGCCCTAGAGGGCCTAGAGTCCTAGACTGTCTCAAAATATATAATAGCAATTGTATAATAATATAAAATAGTAAAGTAAAAAAAACTTCCTCGACGGTTATAGGTAGGCCTTCTTTTGGTCGGTGCTGATTGATATTCTTTCATGTTGGCTTTGACTTATTGCGTCGACGATTACGATTAGCCACGAAATTAAAATATTTGAAAAATGCTTTTAATTTGAACGTAGGACGGCGGGCTCTAGAATGTGTGGGTGATATTCGATGTTCTCTTAAACACGAATAACGATATTCGAAGGTCGCGATATTAACATTAAATTCAAATTGACATCCCGGCTTATGAGTTTTCTAATTGAACACCGAGATTACTAGCGTTACTGTACAGTGCATCTTAATCAGTTGAAGCAAACACCAAACATTAATTTCATATTATGTGATATATCATTTTTCGATCTGAAATAATGTGTACTATGAACAACGCTCAAAGACCATTGTTTTAACCCGTCTGCCTACACAGCACACCTAATTAAGTAATATTTACATAGTATCGGTATCGGAATATCGGTAATATCGGGCCTTTTTGTAGTATCGGCCGTATCGTTATCGGTATCGGCTTTTTTAGCTGGTATCAGGATCGGTATCGGTATCGGCGACAAAAGTGGTATCGGTACATCTCTAGTTCAAAGAAACGCACTGTGTAGTATTCCAACATCTGGTTTCAAAGACGCCAGGAGCGTTTATGCGGGAGAAGCGGAATCCGTGTGCTTGTATAATAATCATATTATAAACAAGAATTTTCCGTTAATGCATAAGCTTTATCTCCTATGTCTGCATCTCATAGGTTAGAATTCTGGTAAATATCGTTATGATTGCAGAATTGAGTTTACAAAAAGTACTAGTATGTTACTTATTTGTCAACTTAATACTCGAAAATATTTGTTAACTTTGAATTTTTATTCCATTCAAAATCGGAAAAAAGTGGCTATTTCTCTTCAAAATCGGAAAAAAGTGCTATTTCGCAGTCCCTAAAAAAAATTGCGAAAGTGCTTCGCAAATTTCGCAAAAAAGTGCGCTAATAGTGAACACTGCTTTGTATTAAATATATTCTCACTGTATTTGCCTAACACTGGTATCCTAGTAGATCATGCTCCTACACGCTGTTTCTGTGATACAATTATGCTCGATGTTTGTTGCCAACTACGTAATTGGGAATCTATACCAGTTTGCCATGTAATACACTTTCCAATCGACCAGTATGTCCAACATCCCACTAACATACATCCACCAAACGACAAGTTATCTCTTTTGTATAAATGCCACATACTTACACAATCATTACCACAATCCAATCATACCCACAAATAATCATTATAAAATGCAATCATCATTTATAATTTGTATCCTTATACTGTCACTGTATTAACATATATTCAATTTTGTATTTCAGGTTGGCGTGGATACGTTATTGAACAAGTTATATCATGTCTATTCAGACTATGCCTTGAAAAATCCGTTTTATTCATTAGAAATGCCGATAAGAGCAGAACAATTTGATAATCATGTTAAAGCAACTGTGGAAAAAACACAGAAAACTGGCTCTGCCTATTGATCATGTCAGAATATCACACCATTGATTCAAACCATAGATCCAAGATATCTGAGAAACAGCATGATGAAAGTTGGAATCAGAAGGACATGAACATTTCCAATCTTCCTAGAATTATTTAATCGCAGCCATAAATGATGTTATTTTCTCTGGAAAAGTTTGGTACTTGTATTGTTCAAATGTGGATACTATTATTCGGAATTGCTGAGAGTATTAACTCTGTGCTCTTCTGGCATTTGACATTGGGATCATATTTCTCAACGACCTTGATGTCACAGTTCTATTCCCATTTTGACATTTTCTCCAACGAGAAGACAAGATGTTCACGAGAAACTCATGAAGAATTACATAAATAAAAATGTATAAAAGGGGTGAAGAACATAATCATGCTATCCACAAAAGTTCATTGAAAATATTCTTATGTGGATTAACTAATTTAATTTATAAACAAAAGCTTTGAAACAAAAGTTATGAAACAAAACTATCTCTGAATCGTTGATTATGAACATAGTAGATGTAGTTAGTATATGTACCCATAATAAGAAGCGGTCGCCTATCAAAATTCTCGGTTCTCCCGTAGTATGTGCAACAAGAAGCCGGACATAGGAATGTAGTATGTGTATCAGGTTAGAATTAGGCCATAATTTCAGGTACAAATACTACGGGAGTCACTTGGCTAGTCCTCGAACTCGTAATAGAATTAAAATGAGGAAAATTGGAATAAAATTATGACCTAACCCTAACCTGGTACATAGACTATGTACAGGTGTCCGCCATCTTGTTGCACAGACTACGAGAGCGCCAAATTCTCAACTGTCATTACTCTTTCATAATAAGATAATCTATTCGCGAAACTGGGTATTGGCTTTCGAGTAGTTCTAATTTTTAAAACGAAACAACTGAGAAACTTTTATGTAATTCATGAATGATTGATAATTTTTCATGAGGGAATCATTCTTTGTTGACTGTATATTTTTGAAAATGTCTGGAAAGTATTTGTGTTATTGGATTGGATTATTTTTGGTTCAATCGGAATTTACATTACGAATCTATATGTTTCAATTTAGGCTAATTATAGTTGAAATGTTATGCCACTATGATCTAATATATCTTATTATTTATAAATATTTTGGAACTGACTGTTTTCACTCAGGCCACAACTACATTGAAAATTTGATTATATTCACTTCTTTAGAGTCCAGGAATTTGATCCCATCCGCATTGATGAATAAATTCGTTTTGTATAATTTTGGCTCACCTTGTGTGCAATAATGTTATTTTATATTTCAGTAAATAAGATTCTGGGCCATCTTTTGGGAATTAGGCACCTAAAACCATATGAATGAGTAACAACATAGGTTCAACTCTTCCACCACATTTACAACAGAAGAGAGAGTCTAAGGAAAGTAATACTGAGGAAAGAGATAAAAGTTCTTTTCATAATATTGGTCCTGCTTTACCACCATGGTTGAAAAAGAACACTGGAACACAAAGACCCCCAATTCATAGCAGAGAGGCAAAAGAAACAGTTGCAGTTGGCCCTGCTCTACCTCCATGGTTGAAAAATAAAAATTCTGATGAGCCAGAAAAAAAGTCAAATGATGGTAAAGAACACACAGTGAGCAATATTGGACCTGCCTTGCCACCATGGATGGAAGATAGACAAACACCAGATGTGAGAAATGATGATGAGAATTCATTTGTTCCTCCTTTACCACCAGGATTTCAACAATCAAACTTGGAGCCACAACAATCAACTTATCCAAATAAGTAAAGTACTTTATCACCATTTTATATATAAAAACACTGAAAATTTTAATAAATAACGGACTGTATGGTTCTGAATTCTGATATTGCTATTATAAGAATTGTATTCTTATAAAGTGCATTGCACTTTTGTTGTTCCAAACAAACCTCTGTATCACACATAGTGACTTTGTATGATGAAATAAACTTGGACTGAACTGATCGGGCAGTGCAATGTTATTTTCATTATGGGGTGGTTTACTGTTATTGCTAATGCATAACTATTTTTTTTATCCTAGTGCTGATTACCTAGGAGATGCTGATTCTATTATTGGTCCCTTACCACCTTCTGGAAACGAAGACAGTTTATTATCTGTTGCGGAACAATTTGAAAAAAGGTTTGTTTGGTTTAATCTTAATAACACACATTCACTAATCTCGGATCAGTATGTTCACAGGCGAGAAATAAATTAACAGAAAGTAAATATTGCAAATGATATATATTGTCCACATCTTGATCTGTGCAAAGGGCTTATCTAGTAATTGCAAATCACCACAGATCTAAGAAAATGAAAGATAAGTTGGAAGGAAGAGAAGCACCAAAGAAATTAGAAAGAGAGGAATGGATGACTGAGTTACCACCATTATTACAGGTAGTTTTTGGACGACATTCATTGTCCAGAATGATAAGAAAGAATATCGACTAATGTAAATATGATTGAACATTGAATTTAATGGAAGAAAATTGTTAGATGGAGTATGAAATATCTGGCTATCAAATAATGAGATAAATATTTGAGCACACGTTACTTACGATGTTTATTGTAATAATCAGAACAAAACTGAAATAAATTGTGCTATTTTCTGTTATTTGGCACTCGTACTTGCATTATCCTATTATCTTGCCGTAGAAGATGATCATTCGGGCTTGGCAAAATTGAATATCTAGCAGTTCCAAATCAAAATTGATTGTCTGAATCATGCAATTTTGCTCTTGGTAAAAACTGAACAGCAGTTGAAGCATTTCGGTGTATTGTAGACTGAAAAAAAAAAACAATAGTGCCTTGCTGGCATTTTTAGCATGACTATGAAAAACAGGGGTCAAGTGTACTTTTGCATAGTATGAATTAGTTCAACCACTAAACTGGCCGAGCAGTATCTAACATAAGAACTGTTGGGCCATCTGCTGCACTCGTACATAAAAGAGATGGGATTATTCTGATTAGTCATATTTTTCCATAATGGCAAAATTGCAGTCATATTGAAATTGACCAAATCCATTATCTGGATGCATAATTTATGTCTTAAATCTTAATCTGTCAAGTTTGCCATGAATGCGATATAACAAAGATATCACAATCAAATTATCTCGCTTATGGATGTATGAATACAATTTAATTTACCATCTCAAAGCACAGCAGATTGGGGCTTGACCTGTGACAAATTCAGGGAATATAAATTATTCAGCGCGTTGTGAACTTTTGAAGATATGAGCTAGAATTATGTGCGAGCATCGCTACCAATTTTATTTACCTATTTGTTCTGATATAAAATAGCCCCAAAATGGTTTAAAATAAAATATTTTTGATTTGATTGAAATTTGATAGCTCAATTTACTTGCCCAGTCAAAGCAAGAATTTACTGGGCTGAATCTACCAAGTAAAAATTTGCTTATATTCATTAGTAGTATTCAGTTGATTCGATTAAACTTGATCTGCTGTGGTATGATTTTTTAAATGTGTTTCTGTATGTTTAGGGCTTTGGAACTGGTCCTCGTAAGTTTCGGGCTAAAGAAAAAAATGAAATTGGTGATCGTTCTGTATGGACAGAGACTCCTGCAGACAAAGCAAAGAAGGCGGCTCAAGTATGTATTTTTTCAAATATGCCTCATTGAAATTGAAAATCGATTTGTTGGATAATACTTTTTGTTTAATATAGGGAAAGACATCTAACAGTGTGCCGGATGAGGAACGGATTGAACAAGAAGCATGGGCCAAGCGTGATGCAGAAATTGCCATGAAACTTTCTGATAAAACTGTAAGTTGTTGTACAAATGATTTATGAAGCCACCAAAGTGTTAAGTTGCTTTGAAAAATCAAAAGAAAAATTTCTGGCATAGTCTATTTGTTCTTACTCACTAAAAGAAGTTTTTCTTATGAATCAGAGTTCTGAAAGAGGTGAATCACTAATGAATATCCACGAGAAAGCAAGGAAAAGAAAATTAGAAGAAGATCAGGAATCTGGCGAAGCAAATATCCGAAGACCATTTGATAGAGAGCTCGATTTACAAGTATGAAATTCAAATGTAGCCTACTTCGTATGAATATTTTTAAATGGACATGATATGACATATTATTCAAAGCAAAGCCGTACATATGAAGATTATGTGACATGTGTCAAATATGTATAAAATGAAAGCAATGAAATTTGCAAAATGCCTTCTTAAAGAATTTCCCTTTTCTGGGTTTTGTTACAATTAACTGCTTACTTGCTGCAACCAAGTGTAGAAAATTTGTTAATTTTTGCTACATTTTTTAGACTAACAAGTTTGATGAAGCTGCTAAGAAGAGATTCATCAAGAAAACACAGGGGCTTTCTTCTCGTTTTTCTTCTGGATCAACAACCTCCAAATTTTTATGAAATTTTTTATGTGGCTTATCTATAGCCATGCTTGAAAAATTGTTTCGGAAATTATGAGATGTTCAGCATGAACTGAAGAGAATGCCAAGATCGTATTGCTGATAACTGCTGCATTGACATTATTCTGAATCATGTCTGTTCATGTGATATGCAATGTGAAAATATAGATGTTTTTCGTCACTATTTTCAGAATAGCAAAAAGTAAAATATTGGAAATATGAAATGCTACAAAGATTGTTGGTTTCTGTTATCGAATATAAATGTTAGGGGAATGAATTATCAGGACTATTTGATATTGTTTTTATTCTGGTGTTTTGACAGTCATATCTGATGCCAGGGCTTGATAAATATCAGCATATCTAGTAGCTTTTGTATTTCAACTAACCTTGCACTGCCTTTATTTCTAGATATAAATCTTAAAAGTAAATAGTATGTAAATAAATTTGGTATGATATTCTGTATTCTTTGTTCCTGCCCAAGATCTATTGTAACTGAAGACAACTGTTGATTACTGGAGGAGAAAAATGGAGGTCGATCCCGACTATACTGGTTTTATAGTTAGTGCTACGGAAGATGACCCACAAGTGGAAAGGTCAAGGATTATCCAAGAAAATGGTATGTCTTTATAATGTCACTAATTCAATTTTTGCTTAATGACAGATCAAATAGGTTCAGGTCAAACTTATTACAATTTCGAGTTATTTATGATATCTTGGAATTATTTTAATAATGGTTGTTTTATCAAGCAAACGTCTCGTATTACAATAATTTTCATAAACCTAAATATGCTTTGTTGTCTTATTTCATTCAAGTTTAGGAGAATCAATTTTAAATTTCAGCTCGTGATGCTGCAGTTGACAAAATCAGAACAATCATTGATGACCAGTTTAACAAAGAGATTGAATTAAAGGTGCCAGAAGTTTTATAATAAATATTAATAATAATGTTTTCTCCAAGTTTTCAACATTGTGTATGTTACTATCAAAGCAAAGCAGGTATTCAATAAACAGATTATTCAGTTAATAGAATAGAGAAGGCTATATCATGCTCTCCTCTACCTCATCGCTAATCTGCAGTCACAGACATGAATGGGTTGTTCACTTTACATTATTTATTGGTCTAGTAATACAGGGGTTCTCAAACTTTTTTGCGTTGCGGAGCCCTTGAAAAGGTTGACTATTATTCACGGAGCCCCAAAATAAATGTTAAAATTGTTACTTTCTGATTAATATTCCTGAGTAAGTTAAACGTACTTTACTCAATTTAAATACTAAACACTTTTAATAGGGTTAATACAAGTCATAAATAAATCTAAATTTCAAAGATAAATTGTATAATATACTAAAGCTATAAATTTGACACATGCCAAACATATTAATAAATTAGGGGTCGAATCTTTTCCCCTCTTGACATTTTTGGAAGACTTAAAAGGCCGCTAATAACGTGCGCGATTGCATTGTTACAATCGCCAATTGTTTTCGTCAGCATGGCGTGTTTTTAAACCTCAAACATCTTTACGCCGGTGTTTATTCTCCCTAAATCAAAAATTTCCTTCGGCATATACATGTATTGTTCCACAATGACGACGATAATTGCTTTTTCGTTCTCGTGGGGAATTATGAGTTCAATGTGAAAAACATGTTACCATATTATAATCATCGGCGACGAAATGCTAAAAATAATAGTTAATAAAGAGGTAAATCTGCAATTCAAATTTCTTGATTAAAAAGCGGCATTCTAAAATATTAGAACTAAAACTTAAAATGGAAGATAACACTATAACTTTTGTTTCAGCAGACTCACGTCAGAATAAAAACGCTGTTATAGACATCGAAAATCATAAAATTTGGTGTTATGTTAGGTTTTCAGTTATTCATCGTAGTAACTGCGAAATTGAAACACAGTCATTTAATTATGCGTGCGATGTACCATTTTTCCTTTCTGAAACTACCGACAGAGCTGCATGCACTAAAATAAATTTCTATCGTTCGTATTTTGCCAAGACCTTGTGATTTTTCAAACGGCGACATCTTGCTTAAAAATAATCTCGAGTGCGAAAGAACAAATCAAGTTTAACAAATCCCAAGATTGCAAAAATACGACTCCAATTTATTTATAGTTAGCAGTTTATGTTATTTTAGACTAGTATTTTATCATTTTAGTAATCCTAATAGTAATTTTGAATCGAATGTGAGTAACGATGAGCATAATTAAATTATTACGACAAGACCCTTTAGATGCTCGCATCGGTCATGAATTGAATATTTTACGCAACAGAGATCTCGTTATCCGTTTTTTTTGAATCGCCAAGAATGTTGCGCGTAAATTTCCGATTTCAATTTTGAACCTCCTCCCTCTTAAGAATCCTGGCTGCGCTCCTGCTTATAAATAATGTCATTTTTTAATTCCGCCCCTTTGCCATATTTCGAGGCTATATTTGTCAAATTTCATCAAAGCTGGTATTGCTTCTAGGAACATTTTTAAATTAGCCAAGTCAGTATTTTGAAAAGTAATCGAATAGCTCGCGGAGCCCCTGGGTTACTCTCGCGGAGCGCTGGGGCTCCGTACGGAGCACTTTGAGAACCTATGTAGTAATATATTAATGTGTATATTAGAGTGTTAATGCAGAGTTTTCAAACCGGAGATAGAATTTCACATTTTTGCATGTAGTCTTATTACTAGTGTTGACTTTCTTTTGACTTTATTATGTACCTAACATGACTGTCTTATATTGCGCTTTTTGTCACTTTAAATGAATCAAATATGTCACTTTGAAAGAATGATAATACTGTCATTTTATCACATCGTTAATTCAGAAAAGTACTTCTAATTTAGATGGGAAACAGTTTTATTTTCATATTACTGCATCAAAAATAATTTTCCAATATTTTAATGATTTTCAGGAAGATGAACTGATGGCTATAAATCAGAAACTTGCTGATGCCAGATGTGTAATGGATCGATTGCGAGCTTGTGTTGTGGCAAGCTTTTATGCAGCAAGTTTTACTAAACCAGTAGATGGTGCTAAAGGACCAGATGCTGGGGCTGCGTATCATCCTGCTATTCAGGTTTGTCATGTTTTTTCTGGACAGAAAAGTTCAGCTCTCGCTGAAAACATTTATGGCTTTAATATATCACATGTAATGTGTACATAAATATAATGTTACAGCATAGCCTACTTCAAAAATTACTCAATCCCAATTAGTGGTTCCATTACATTTGAACCCACGTACATTTGAACCCATGACAATTTCACCTGTATGCTATTGCACCTAATGGAATTTTTTTTGTTCCACGGATAGTTAAACCCATACTAACCCTAACCCAGGGGTTTTAGCACCCGAATATAGATTGAACCCGTGGATATACGCATGGGTTCAAATGTACATGGGTTCAAATGTACGGTCACCCCAATTAGTATACATTGAAAAGCTTTCTTACATAACTGTGAAGTTTTCTTGGTTATAATGACTAATGAGTTATGCACAAGGTTATAACTTATAAGGTTTTGTGTGGTTTTACTGGTTTATATTAATTTGAAAGTCTGCCTAAAGGCCATTTCCAATACCCTCTGTAACTGTTATTTCCTTGGGTACTCCCGTAGTATGTGAACCAAGATGGCGGACACTGGAACGTAGTATGTGTACCGGGTTAGGGTTCGGCCATAATTTTATTCCAATTTTCCTTATTTTAGTTCTATTACTAGTTCGGGGACTAGCCAAGTGACTCCCGTAGTGTTTGTACCTGAAATTATGGCCTAACCTGGTACACATAAGCTACTACGCTCCGGTGTCCGTCATCTTGGTTCACATACCACAGGAGTACCTTTTCTTGATATCTCCCAAATAGCGTAGTAAACTACATTTTTTTCTCAAGACTGCAAAAGTTCAAAACAAGCAGTTCAAATAAGGCTATTTAATTTTGCCACTTAGGTTAAATGAATGATTGATGAATAGGTAGAATGATGCTTCAGGTCAATGTTGCCTTCAGCTACACTTTACTTAGAAACTTAATACATTCAGTTCATTTCCAACCACCTAGTTATTAAGTATGAGGATCGCAGCATTCGCACGTTTGAATTAACCATAAGGTTCATAACATAATATAAGAAACATGGTTTTCATTATCTACCTATCTTTTATATTAGATTCATGTCAGTGTAAACCAGTGGAAGTGGAACCCAACCTTTTATGGGTTGTGGCCCCCTTCTGGAGGCTTTTAGCACTCATGGCCCCCTGTTCATCCTTCGCGCATTGCGCACATTCTAGGTCAGGGATGGCGAACCTTTTTCAATGAATGGAACAAAAATTATATTTTCATCGCGGAACAGAAGAGAGTGGGACACAGATATTTCATCAATGTTTGTATCTATAAGAAACTTCTGAAACAAATCTTATAAGCTTCTGTTGGCGTAGTTTTGGGCTTTACTTATGCAGCACTTCTATCAGAGACTTTTCATGGCACTCGATTTTATGAACTTAAAGTACGAAAACACGCATATGAATTACCAAAAATGTTTAGGATAATGCGGCAAATTGTTTTACGGTTCCAAAAAAATTGGAGGGAATTCCACTCTGATAGTGTTATATTTTTCGATCAGCTTTCAACCACATTAAGGCACTTTTACACTGTCCCATTGTTGTTTCAGATTTCTCATAACGGCATCGTATGCAAGAAACTAATAAGATACAAAGTAGCATATAGTTCTCGCATAACCCCTAAAACAGTCTGTAGATGCACTTCCTAAAGCAGCGTTTCCCATCCTTTTTTGGTCGCGGACTATTTTCTCACCGGCGAAAACCTTTGCGGACTCAACGTGTGTTTATTGCAGCCGTACTCTGTGTGAAGAAGTAATAAAACCAAACATAACAGAATTTCAAAATCGGAAATTCGCCGCAATTACGCGTTTGTTAAAAGAGTCGACTTTTTAGCGAATAAATGGCCTTTTCTGTCGCACAATATTCAATCCATGACAACAACGAGAATTTAAAACGTCTTTCTATTTTAATTTAATTGTGTTCGTAGTCACTCGCAGTTGCGTTGACCTATGACAAAATGAAAGCATTTCTTGTTCAAAATGCCACGGCAAGGTAGCACCCGAATTTGCTATGTCTTAAAACGCGTTTTTAATCGGCCGCAGGTCATCATAAAACAAAACCTAAGATGTTCTCCGTTCTTCAATTTTTAGTATTTTGTATTGCGCTTTTGAATTTAGGTCGCCACCATTGACAACTACAAAGAAAAAAATTATTTCTCGTTGTTCGAGCTCGCGAGAAACACCACTTAGGTATCTATCCACGAGTGTGCCGACTCGTGTTTTCGTCGGATATCCGCAAGTGAGTTGTGAAATCCAATCGTTGATTAAGCGACGTGCAAGTGACCTGTTGCGTCACCTGTTACCAAATTTTCGAAGAGTAAATTGCTATTCTAATAGTTGAATAATCAAATATATGCCCAGCCCTACTCAGTATCCAGTAATTATTGACTCGATTAATGTTATGTGAATAAACTTGATTTTTATGTCTTATGTAAATTCTAACGTAACTTGACTGATGGTTAAATTTCACAAAAATGTTGCGGCCCTTAGTGAATTTCTGACTCGTTGCGGACTCATTCAAACGCTTCGCGGACTCATTTGAGACCGCGGACTCGGGTTGGGAAACACTGTCCTAAAGAGACAAGACGTAGCGACGAATGAACATGTCGACTGCATTGTTATGTCATAAACGATGTCAGAGTCAATAGCTGAATAACGGTACACAGCGGCGCAGACATGCGTCCAAAATTAAGGGTTTTGAAAATTATCATACCGACCCGAATAATCACCAATTTGAATATGAGCGATCGCGGCCCTGACTGCTCAACTGACGGTACATTATAAAATTGATTGTTAGATTAACTTAAGGCCGGTTTTATCAATTTTTATCACTGATATGTTAGCATTTATTTTATTTTATTCGTGCCTTGGCGGGTCACGAATGAAACGCGGTGGGTCACTTTGTGACTCGCGGGTCAGTGGTTCGCCATCCCTGTTCTAGGTCATCTCAATTTACTTTGATGAAGCCAAAGGCAACGAAATTGTCGTCCCATTTCTGTTTCTCGGGAATATTAGTAATTGAAATATATTTATCTCTGTCTACATTACTCTACAATATGTTTACGACGTCTATTCTTGCAGTATTGTGAAATTGTTATTATAAGGAAACTACTGTAGGTCTGACCGCCATCTGTGAGTCAGATGGCCTGTCAATCAACTATGAATCGGAACACGAAGGTATTCATAGTTCTATTTTGACTGGTAGATTCCAAATCCCATTATGATCAAACAATACAACATATTATTATGCATACGAAATTGCAATAAAATCAATTTTGCGGTTGGCAAAAGTTGGGAACCCTGGTGTAAACCATAATGCTTATGTCAACTCACTGACTTGAATCTCTATCAAAAGATGACAATACAAATAAAATAATTATTGCGTTCATGTAGTAATGATATCTGAATGAGCTAGTAATGTGTTCAATCAATGAAGAAATGTGAAATAACATGTTAATAAGAAAGTATTGTGCAAAACAATCCCATCAATTTCAGTGTTGTATAAAATGAAGAAATAATGAACAAAGCAAGATTAGTCAGCCCATGAAGACATGTAAGATTGCTGGAACGACATTCAAAATTGATGCAATTTGGTGAAAAGAATGAAACCACGATTTATGTCAAATCTTATTAGTTTTTTAAAAAGAGGCTGGGAAGTTATAGCTTAAGTCATTCTTAAATCCTTAATTAAACTCAGATTTTCTGATGGCGTAGCGTCATTTTGACAAATGCTAATTATGTACGATATTTCTTCAGCTATAATAAATACAGACAAATATTGAAACTTTTATAATTTGCAGCAGTAAGTCAATGTTAGTCATTCTATGAACTTCAAGGTGCATGTTAATTGAGATGTTTACAGTAACAGTGAAATTCCATTAAAATAATATGAAGAAATCATGGTAGTTCATCTCGTAGACTCAAGTAACTTCTGTTTTGTGATTGTCTTCTCGTTTTGCAACTGAGAATTCCAAAAAACATAAATATTCCAGCCACGACTAGCATTGCAAGTAACAAGTGCCAGGCGAAGAACATTGTTAAAAATGCGATGTTTTTATGAGATCCCTGCTCCCATGGTTCTCCATTGGGTGGATATAGCACATAGGCTGTCTGAAAGAAAAGTTAAATATTTGCGTGAGTAAAATAAAAATTCAAATTTTTTTGGATGCAAGGGTGTGTTTGCTAGCTAAATTAAGTAATTTTTTTTAGCATTCTATGTTCTAAAAATAATATTTTAAATTTGTTTAAGCTACCGGTAAATGAATTGTTGCCTGAGAGCTATCTTTGACATACCTGCCAGAACCATGTTCCTTGTAGAATTATAGCTATTGCCATGCAGAGTTCCATTGTGAAGATTTTCTTTTGATTTGATAGAACTTTTACTATATCTTCTTGTTTGTAATAATTCTGATTGTCATCTGCTAAATTTGTCCACTGTCCACTAGATGGTGATTTCTCTCTCAGTTGAATATTTTCATCAGAATTGTCTGTGATGTAATTTAAGAAAGGATAGGATTTACATATTTATCCCGGGGGTTAGGAATGTGGAGAAAGTGTTAACTATAGTGCTTGTCATCAATCATTTTTGTCGGATTTATGCAAGTTGAGTGGTAATTATCAGTGTTTAAAACCATATGTTTATACAAAATAATTATCATATATCATATATTTGAAATTGTTGTATAGGATATTCAAGAAATCGGATCAGAAATTATCTTAATAAAAAACAAATCAAAATAGAGGATGCAATGAGACAGAATTGAGAAGCTACAAAATATTTCACCTTCATTCTGATCATTCAATAAGGATGTTGTGTCCCTTTGCAACATATTATCATTCCTCATCTTATGTCTCAATTGTGGAGCAATAACATAACCGTTCGAAAAATTTGCTGTTATGTTAATTGATAGAGTTAGTACTGCTAGATTATTGGTATCACAACATATTTGATTATTATTATTGTATTTTACATTTAAAATTGAATTTACTAAAAGGCTATTCTCGCAAATAGTTCATCAAACGTTCTGTGAATTACTGTTATTACTGGAAGACAAGATATATACTTACTATTATTATCTATTGTTGCTAATAGGAATAGTATCAAACTAACTGGCCAGATAGCAATGATAAGCAATACATGAACGCGAATGTCTAATTCTTCTCGTCCATGAGTGTGAAAGTAAAACAAATATCCTTCAATTGCATATGCTAGTCCATGGCAGATATGATGGATGCCTGGATGAAAAAAATGTAAAACAAAAATTAAAGAGGTCTAATTAGGATTGAATTCTTTCTCATCAGCTACATGTAAATAAGGTAAGTTGATATACTTACAATGTGGCATTACTTTAGGCATCTTCATTACAAGTATATCAACAATTCCTGATATCAGGAAGAATGCATACATTGTACTATGCGACCAGTTATTTGCTCTTGTGAACTCGTTAGTTGTTTTTTCTGTTAGACGAAACCAGGGTTCCCATGGTAACAGTTGTTCTATCAGTAATCCTGCAAATAAATAAATGTTGCATGGAAAACTAGTATTTCAATAATTTCAGGAAAAAACTACGGTAATACAAAAACAAACCAGTTTATTTGGTTTATGCAAATAATCAAATTTACCGTACGTATCAATTTTTGCTTTAATCGAAATATGGTAATACCAGTACCTATTTGTATGAGACTAGAATCAGTGTATGAAGACACTAATTGGTATGGACATGTAATTCTATTATAAGAATGAAAATAGCATCCTAAAGGCGTAGGCCTCCTTACATGAAAATAAGTCATGTTTGGAGGTTAATTATGACATTTATTGGTTAAATATTTGACATATTTTCCATGTGCTATCAACACCTAACATACCAAACCCAGCAAGTATAATCTTTGACAATGCTTCAAGAATTTCACTCCTGAATTTTGCACATCTTCTTCCTGTATTAGGGCGTATTGTACTGGTGAAGAAGTATCTGGTGAAAGAAATTCCAATTGAATTTATTTATTTGAAGTTTATTAATATTGGATAAAGATAGTTTGAGGATATAGTAAAGGAGGCTCCTTTTGACTCCCAAACTATTTCAATGCTACTAATCTGTTACAAATTGAACTGCTCTCTAATTCATTTTTTAAATTAAAGCTGTTTTTTTCCAAATTTTTAACTAGAATTCACTGAGTGTTTTTTAATCTTCTTTGTATCAAATTTATGTGCGAATGAAATGATGTGCCCTTGCCTTACTTGAATTATAAAAAGTTGTGGCATAAAATTCTAGGTTAAGAACGACAGCAGTTATAGTTAGTTATTGCGAATATTAAAAATTAATATATCCTATTTTAATAAGCCAAATCATTTCTTGAAACTGAATTTCATACAATCTATTATCTCCTAGCGTATTGACATTGAATTGCTACAATTATTCGTCGATTGGTGCATCATGCACTACAAGATTTATATATAGTTTCAATAGCCTAGCTCTTGAAATTTTAGTGGTTGCCCTTTATCTTGGCCAAGAGGGAGTGACCTTCCTTCTCAGTGTGTGGCAAGTTACCTTGCTTTGAACAATTGATATCAAAGGAAAAATAACTTAGAAATGATTACCTGTATGATGTCTTGATTGCCCAAGTCAATCCATATAAAATAAACAAGGATCCAGGCAATGTATGTCCAGACCACGAACCCATTCTATCTGAGCTATTTGTTGTAATAACCTGAATAATTCTACTTATTATATACTCCTTCTAGATCGAAAGTTTTGTTGCTGAGAATAAAACTTTGTTATCAATGTTTATGTTAACATATTCAAAATACATAATATTTAGTATACCTCAATGTATACCTTACTGGTATATCTCTACAGTGTATTTGATAACTCAATATTCAAACTTTTCTCATGCCTCATTAATCCATTATACTCCCTCTTCAACTAACTGAATCAATTATATAAACTCTTAGTATACTATCAGAGAAGATTTGCCTTAGGGCATTTTGGTGCAACTACATTATGAAAATTGTCATTTTTATCATTAATTTAATTTTGAACATATTCAATTCCATATATTCTGACACAACTCTAATTTTTGAGAGAAACTCTCACACAAACATTACCACTAGAATGAAAATAATCCTCTTTGGAGGCTTTAGTGCAAGTAGACAATGGACTGGTTAGAACCCATTCATGTAGGCTATATGTCAGATAAGATATATTATCCCATTTTGTTTGGCCCTATTTGCCTAATTACTCTTTACTCACTTATTCCGAATGATGTATATTAAAAAGATGAAGTTCATTATGAAAATAAACAAATCATACATAACATGTAAATTCAAATACACCGACACACATACTATTGATCCTCAAATGTCAAAAATTTGATTTTGCTATTGCAACATACTGATTTCTGAAACTGTATATATACTGGTAAGTAACAAGATGTCATTAAATCATATGACAAGTGCATGAGTTAGTAAATAATAAATGAGCAACCTGCTTTCCATTCGATACACTATTACATATATATATATCACCCTTCCGGTCATAGTCATAAGCTTTGAACACAACACATTATAGCCTTTTTGTCAACTCGTAAAACCAATATGCTGTTCCCTGTTTTATCTAACACATTATGCTTGACTTTGTATATAAATAGTAATGCTATTGAACCATTCGCATTACATCAGTGAAATGTCGGAAATACAAACATTTTGTCATTTTCGATTGATTTCCAATTATATGTAAAACTATTACGTATTCAGAGAATGCTAACATATGATCTGAAAATTTCATTTTATTTTCATGTTGGTCACATGTGATTTTGCACGTATTAATCTTCACCAATATTTCTAGCTTCAAGATGGAAATTTTATTATTTCAATGTCACAAGACAATTTAAATGTAATGTGTCAAAGAGAATGGCATAGAAAGCATGCAAAACTATTCAAGATATCCATCAAAACTACTAAATATTTCGTTTTCATGAATTTTCCTTTTTACATTTAAATTTATTCATTTATATTAAAACCAATACTTGCATATATTATTATTCATCAGTAGAGGTCGGGGAAACTGTAGTAGGAATAAACATGACCATACTATGCAATTCCAGATTCCTGCTGCACACCAACTCTCAATATAACTTTATAAACTGCTAATCTGAGGAAGTCCGATTTTGGTCAAACGAAATGTTACAGAAATACATTTGTGTTAGTGTGCAGCAGAACTATCGAATTGCATAGTAAGGTCCTATTATTCATGTTTTAAAAATTTAACTACGGTAATCCAAAAATAAAATTCAACTCAGAATGCACACCAACTCTCAATATAACTTCATAAACTGCTAATCTGAGGAAGTCTGACTTTGGTCAAACAAAATGTTACAGAAATACATTTGTGTTAGTGTGCAGCAGAACTATCGAATTGCATAGTATGGTCCTATTATTCATTTTTAAAAAAATTCAACTAATCCAAAAACAAAATTCAACTCAGATCAACCTGATCTGTAAGAATAATTGATGTTTAATTTTACATAAACCCGCAACTACTCAGTACCAGAAACCGCAATACTGCAATCGTTTTTAAACCTGCATTTTTCTGAATATAATGATCAATGTCACTATTTATTTATTTTTTTGTTGCGTTCATGTATTCTCAATCGTGTACATTTTTATATGGCACAATCATGACCTATAATAATTTTATCAAATTACACCAGCCTATTGAAATATGTCTTGCCTGGAGATTGGTCTGGAAAGCCTCAAATGTCAAATTTAATCTTGCGACTTGCACTCATTTTTCCCTGTCTGATATGTTCTTTTTCTAAAATACATGATATATTCTTGGCTATGTACATCCATGTACAATACACCAACTGTGCCAAGACAATGCTATATAAAGCCACATTCAGATCAACGATAACAGTTATGAACTTATGAATGCTACTTGTGCACTCCTTAGGGACTGCAAATGTATTCCGCATTTGCTTACTAATTTACATTCACGATCTGCCTTCAGCTGATAAAGTTGTGAATGTCTCTTAAACACTAATGTGTATTTATCACAGTAAACTATCAATTAGTTCATCAAATAAATACACAAGTTGATGTTCTGTTGTAGCAGTTAAATTTGTGATCTTTTTAACAGTAACATGCTATTTTGATATACTTTAATATTTCAGAACTTATAGTCTTTGATGAAGTTACTTATCACATTCCTGTTGTGAATATAAAAGCTTCACCATTGGCTTACTCAAACTATTAATTTTTTTTTCATGAATATAAAAAAAATTGGTTTTTCTAAAACTCTTTTACTATCTGTATATCGGTGAAAAATGAGGACTTCCTCTTTGTAGTTCACTGAATTTTCATTGTATCAATGCAGCCACACCATGCATGGGGCATTGATGAAATAAATCATGGCAGTGTGGTTGATCTGTGCCCCATACTTGACAAAGATTATCATCTGATAGATAGATGCTAAAGCCACGGAATCCACTTCTCTTATTTAGTACATATCGTTGCTCAAAGTAGAATTACCCATATATCTTTGGTTCTGATAAAATCCTATTAATATTGCAGAATGTTATACGCAAGGCTGTCACATCTGTTTTGAGCAAAAAAGCACCACCATGTGTTCCACTAATCAAGAAAATAAAACCGATCGAAGATGATCAAGATATTGACCAGGATCAAAACGGTAAATGATAGTTGTTTACAAACATAGTTATGGAGAAATCAGGAGTCATCGTGCTGATATTTTTCACCGAGTCATGATAGGTCGTTCTTAGAGGAGCTTAGGTTGATGATATAGGGTACTCTCGTAGTATGTATACCAGGTTAGGGTTAGGCAATAATTTTATTCCTATTTTCCTTATTTTAGTTCTATTGCGAGTTCGGATAACTGTCTGTGTTAGCCAAGTGAATATACCCCCTGCCCATCGGCTTCAGTCCCTATACACAACATGATGTGAAGTAAGCGAAAAAAATTAGTTACCTCCATATTGGTACACATACTTCTGGAGTGCCGATGATAGAACTATTGGTACATGCCTCTTGATGACTATCAATTGATAGTATATGTTATATGAGTATCTATTTCTATATTCTGATTACTTTCTGAATAAACCTCAGTAAAAGCAAATTTCATCTTTACATCTTGTCAACTGTTATTCACAAATGCTTGAAATTGAGTTATGAATTCGCAAATGAATTGCAAGGAAAGTATTAACACTGCCGTCTGCCATTATGGTTAATTATAAACTGATTGTCCAGTGAACTACCTATGGTAAGCTATTTTTCTATGACATGGCAAGTATTGCATAATTCATCAAGCCATTAAAGTTTAAAATGTTTTTATTTAAATTTTTGCTACATTGATATTTTAAATTTTTATGAGAAGAGGAAAACCATATGAATTATATATGTAAGAATAATATATGGAAATAACTACTTGCATTTAAATATGTAAAATAAAAAATTCAGTTTTCCAAATATGGTGTATTAGTATTTTAATGCATGATTGGCATTGTTTCAGACTCTTCTGTAAATGGGAGCTTAGATGGACATGATGACAGTAACACCATCGAATCAGCATCGGCTCCGGTTAAAGAAAATCAGAAAAAGAACAAAAGAGGCAGAAAAAAAGCCAATATGGAATTTAGAAACGATCATAATAAAATTGTTGGCAACAATCTTGGGTTAGGAAATTGTTAAATCTTATTAATAGAAATTATTGATAGAAATAGCGTAAACATGTCTAATTGTCCCGTGCTAGATTTGACTATGATGTTGCTATTTGGTATCCCATCCCTAACTAAGAGATAGAAATATGAATGAATATAAAAAATGTAAACTTGAAGAATACAAGTATAGTGTTTACAAGGTATTGCACCAAAAGGAAGTATGCAATGTTTTATAAAGAATTTCCATGCTTTGTGACATCTGATTATTATAACTGATTTAAATTGTTAAAATTTTGCTTCATTGTTATGAACTCTGTTAAGAAAATATGTCTGAATAGCTGTGAATATGATATCGATTCATAACTCTAGTGGTATATGATTCTTGGTATCTCCTTTTCAAATATTTCAGGTAGAGGCACTTTGCTCAAGTGTTATCATCCATGATTATGCATACATAAACGTTGCTATTTGGTGCTTCTGACCACCATTGTTCAAAGTGCATGTATGCCTCTAATTAACTAAATTTATTTATTCTCTCAATCATAAATTAATTCTACATCTTTCTACAGCGGCAGACAACGCATAAAAAAGACTATAATCGTCGGAAATGTATCAAAATATATTTCACCAGAACAAAGAGAAGTCAGTGATAAATCAACACATAAATGGATGATTTATGTTCGCGGAAATGAAGAAGAACCAAGGATTGATCATTTCGTTAAAAAGGTACTGTTGTTCTCACATAATAATGGCCATGATTGGATTAAATTTTGTTTTTGTCGCTGCGCAATGTATGATAAAGAATTTCTAAATCAGCATATCTGTCTGTATCACGTCAACTATTTGTATATAAACGTCTCTACTCCACCCTCAACACATTAGCTCTGGGTGTTCTCAACAGGTGGCCTGTTGAAGCTATTTTCTGCAGCCTCAACATCTTTGAATATTTACGCAATGATAACAAGGTATTATCTGCAGTGTGATGAATATGAACAATTTTCCAATTCGGTGCTATTCTGTTTCGCATTATTTCTGATGCAGACTTTGACTATGAAATTCGTTATCACAAAAAAAAAACATGATACATTGTTTTGCAAAGATTGAATTACTTACCGGTAGTTCGCACTGTGGAAAAAGAGCTTTTAACAGTTTTAACATTAAAGATGCCTCATCCAGCTCCAGTAGGTAACGGCCCTCTTCACCTGTTAAGTTGATAACTTTTTCATTAGCTATTACTTTTGCATGCAATCTATACTTTCTGTTGTCCTGAAATCTAACTCAATTTTTCAGTCACATGAAACTGTCCTGCACCTATTACTGTTATTCTTACAATTATTACTTTTACGTTTTTAAATCTTCACGCTGGGTTTTGTATATGTTGCTGCACTGATTTTTGGGTACTCCCGTAGTATGTGCACCAGGTTAGGGTTGGGTTAAAATTTTGTTCTGATTTTCCTTATATTAGTTCTATTTCGAGTTCAGGGACTGTCTGTGTTAGCCAAGTGAATATACCCCCTACTCATAGGCTTCAGTCCCTTTACACAACTTCATGTAAAGTAGGCGAACAAAATTAGTTACCTCCATATCCGACACATACTTCTGAAGCGCCGATTTTTGTACTATTGATCTCGCTGTGAGCTTTGCTGTGTATGTCTTGCAACAGAGTCTCCTATGTTTCTGAAACATTTTTTTCTTTGGAATTAATTTTCTCCTTTTCACTTTCTTTTAGTAGATTGGTTTTTGTGCATTTTGAAGAGGTAAAACAACCACAGACATCTATTATTCATGAGTCGCTAGGAATCCAGTTTCCAACATAAAGAGAGAATTTTTCTACATCGACTTTAAAGTATTATCGATTTCCCCTTGAATAATTTTATCTCATTTTTTTGGTAGAGGGTGCGTACAAGAGTAGTACATAGGATAAAACTTTATGCGAGGCCTTGCTTGAATCTGCAGATTGTTGCTATTGGTTTGTTTATTGCTTTTCATCACTCCATCAAATACCTATTAAACACTAATTTACAACTGTTGGCTGGGAGTTATAGTAAGAGATGACTATTCGAGTACCTAGCAAAGAACTTTGCTACTGAAAATCTTTAATAACTTTATATACCTTGCAGAGATTTTTTTTTAAAATGACATCAGTCCCAAACTTCATTCATCTAAATCAGTGCTCTTCAACAGGGGTTCCGCACATGCAGTGGGGTTCCATGACTTTATAGGGTTCCGTAGGGGTTCCGTGTTTTTTTTTTTTTTTCAGGGGAAATCATTTTTTGCTTCAGCATGTTGATGCGTCATTAAAAATATTCTTAGACCACCGTGTCGTAGGCCAGTTCGTTGAATAGGAGGTTTAGTCACAGTTCAATAAATAGACAAAACTGAAATATTTTCGGTTGTTGCGTCACTTTAGTCATTGTTATGCAACTAACAAGAAAAGAACGCCATTGTCGCACCATAGTTACATGTTGTTCAGCTTTTGTTGGAATATAGTAAAAATAGTGTGAAACCCGACTTTCTATTACCTTCAAAAAACATGGAAAGGAATATTTTTAGATTTCTCTCAACAAGGAGATTACAGCAATTGGAAAAGAAGCATCAAAACTTCTGTGTCAATTTCCCAATACCTATTTGTGTGAATCAGCATTTTCTGCTTTAACGACTATTGAAAACAAAACAAAAAGAAATTGTTTAAAGAGTGTAGACATGAGTATGAGAATTGCATTGAGCGCCGTGGAGCCACGATTCAAGAAGATTGCAAAGGAAATTCAAGAACAACCTAGTCATTGAATTTCACGCTTGTTACCTTCTTTCTGTTTTGTTGTTGATATAGAAATATTTGAACTACAAATATTTCGTGTTACGAGTATTTTGTGTTTTTTTTTCAATTTTGTTAATTGGGGTTCCATAAAAAACAAAAAATTATATCAGGGGTTCCGCAATAACAAAAAGGTTGAAGAGCACTTATCTAAATCGCATAAATTTTCTATTGGTATTCCATGCTTGAAATATTATTTTATTTCAAAATTATCTTCTAAAAGTTCAAGAAACCCAGAAACGTTATTGCAAATTTTTGACCAAAAACACTGGCATCTATATGCATCTAACTGGAGTTTTTTAAGTTGACTTCATTAAATATCTCAAGCCCTAATTCTGTCTGTATTAATCTAGAACTGCTAACTATCAAGCTAGTCAGTGCTAATGCTCACTGAAAAATCTAACCAAGACTTTCTTCTATCTGTGGAGAAATTTCAATGAAATACTATTTATTCGATAACTATTAAATCATCTAAAGACCACGATGTCATTCTGAATGTGCATATATGCAATATCGTTTCTATCAATATAGACATATGATCACTAATATCGCTAGTCATGTTACCGGAATTTTGAATATTTGTCGCGGTAACGCTAATTAACAAGCAAACAGGAAATATTAATCATTCATGGCTGACAAGCAATGTGATTTTTTTTTATCAATTTGCTGATGTGTTTTGTGACGATGTATGCCGTTAATAATCGCTCGTAGATTTGTATGTTGGGGTCAATTTTGAATATAAATGTCTCGGCTTATATTTTTTAACATTATGCTATATCCTGATCATGATTAAGTACGGTAATTCTGCTTGATCCATTGGTTCCAAAGTGGAGCTAGGCTTCATTTTGCTATTGCTGCTGTTTATATTGTTCATCATGGCTTTTATTCTCAGTGAATGAATTAGGATCGAAGTATCTTCATAGAAGGCTCTGATGTTCATATTTGTAAATATATGTTCTAAGCTTACTGGAGCATTGAAATTTCACCCTGTTTTAGTAAATTTTGGATTTTTTTTTTTTAATTCTGATGATTTAGGTGAAGTATTTCAATGGTACTAGTAACTTTTTATTCCATATATGTCTGTATGTCTCTCTCTTGCATTCAGATCAAACTCCAGATTTCACTGATATAGTTTTTGTCAATTTAGGTTTGGTTCTTCCTCCATCCATCATATCGACCAAATGATCTTGTAGAAGTTTGTGAAGCTCCATTTCATCTTACAAGAAGAGGTTGGGGAGAATTTCCTATCAGAGTTCAGATACATTTCTGTGATAGAAGAAACAGACCAGTTGATATTATTCATGGATTGAGATTAGACAGGTATGTCTCACTCAAGACTACTTTATTTGGCCAAAATGGACTTGAGTTCATGTAATATAAATATTGAAGGTATTTTATAAGTGAAGGTGAAATATTGAAATCTGATGTACTAATATGATGTCATCAATAAAATAATTATCTGAAAAAATCTATTTTGAGTATTTCATCTTGACTTGTATATATTGATGTAAAATATTCAATCATTGAAACATTTCCAGATCTTATACTGGACTTCAAACTCTTGGTGCAGAGACGGTCTGTGAGGTAGAATTAGATCGATCAAGTTTACAACTGACTGTGGATGACATGTTAGATGTTGCTGATCTACCAGATCTTCCTGTTAGTAATTCGCCAATTCATGAAGAGAAAGTTTCTGCTGCAGTGGAAAGTGGTACACCAGGTATATGTAGGACAAGGGGTGTGATAAGTTAAATCTCGGCCGAATAAGGAATGTAATTTTCTCGTCCACACTTGACATATAGATTTTAAAACCTCATGCTGCTCAAATTTCATGTTTTATGTATCTGTAGAAGTGAGAATGAAATTTTTATTCTCACCATTGACTGTTCTCCATTTGTTTTGATTTTGCATTAGAAGCCAATAGTCAAATGGATATGGCTCGGGATATAACTTAAGCAAACAACATTGGTTTGGAAATTCTAAATTTTATTCTCTTTGTGAGAATTCTTCCAGCTGTTGTATTCAGTAATTTATTTTTTCACCAATGCAGAAAGTACGCAGCTTACATATACGTGTAGAATAAAATAAGAGTAGCATTTACAGAGTGGATGGAGACGATCTGACACATTAAGTTGTACACTTCAATGGACTAACACAGCATGAAAAAGAAACATAATACCAGTCCTGTTTGCCTTTGATAACATGGGTGTTACAGAGATCTTATAGATTATTCGAGTCCTCTTTTTTCAGTGAAAGATGAAAACGAGGAGGAGAAATCCATGGTTACTGAAGAAGATGATATCGAGCTTGTCAAAGCAGAGGTATGGTATTATGAATCTTTGACATTGTATTTATGATTGGAACATACTTTTTTGTCTCTTATATGAAAAACTCTAAACGACATTAGGCAAATGCATTGAGCATCTGATCTGAGGTTGGATGAGCCAAGTTTTTTTTGACTTGGCATGTACTGCCCAACCAAGTAACTTTGCCCTGGTGATGGCATTTCTTAAATAGGTACTCCCGAAGTATGTGAACCAAGATGGCAGACACCAGAACGTAGTATGTGTACCAGGTTAGGGTTATAGGCCATAATTTTATTCCAATTTTTTCCTATTTTAGTTCTATTACGAGTTCGGGGACTAGTCAAGGGAGTCCCGTAGTATTTGTACCTGAAATTATGGCCTAACCTTAACCTTCTTGGTTCACATACTTCAGGAGTACCCTTAAATATACAGAGAATGTGAGCATACCATCAATTCTTATTGGGGCTATTCTCAAACCTATTGATTATATCGGTTGTTTCAATAACCATTGGACCAATCCCTTTCAACTAACCATAACATCAGCGAATGCTGTACATTTACTGTAATGAACTGCATTGCCGTCTTGTTTTAATTCCCTGTAGTGCATTCTATTTTGGAACCTCATTATTCCAAGTATGAGGTGCGATTTATCTGTAATTATATTGCAGGATGATTCAATGAAAGAAGAACATATTCATGAGCAACAAAATGTTCAATCTGCAGTAAAAAGTTGTGGTTCATCAGTTTCTGATACAGAATCTATTTCAAGAAAGAGAAAGTTATCTCACGGTGGGTTTTGGCAATTCATAACCAACATTCTCCTAATTGTATATCATTCCCATTCGTATGGACACAATATGAATATCTATCCAAGTTAGGTCTATATTGGAAAGTTTATAGCCTGTAATGTCTCTGAACGCTATTTGTTTACAACAGGTTTTATGTTGGTTTTTAAGATCTCATGTGACGACATGGGTTTGTTCATGTATTTAAGAATTGTTGGATAGCTATTGTCTCAATATGTTTTATACAGCAACTAAATATTTGAATAGGCAGTTTCTGGTGTCCAACTCAATCAATTATGCTATCTGGTCTTTTTCTCTAGACATGTATATGTAATCCTACCTTGAAATTGATTTTAATCCATCAGCTTGGTGGTGATATTCTTTTGTAAAATAAATATTATATTGTAATCATCTTCTTCTCATCTACATAATAAATAAATATATAAAACAATATAAACTATAATTTTTTTATCACAATTAAATTTGATACTATTGCCTTTTCTATTTCAGACAAAGAAACATCATTGGATAGTGAAAAAGGATGTGAAATCGACAAAAATGAGGAAAGTTGCAAAACTTCACTGGATGATGACGTTGAAGAGGAACAAGAGGAGTCTTCAACTCCTCAAAAGAAAAAAAGAAAACGTAGAAGAGATAGTTGCAGAATGTCTTCTGCTTCAGATGACGATTTTCTGTCTGATACAAACGTAAATTACGCTTTCCCTTCTCAGTATTGAAATAGCAAACTTGATGACTAGTTTACATAATTTTATCGGCCAAAATCAGCTTGTGGTCTTAACACAATTCAAGATACAAGCGTTTAAAAATAAAAATCAAGTAGATTAGAATTTTGAAAACGAAAAAAATCGAAATTTCTAATTTTGTGTTCTGTTGACCAATGATAACAATAATTTCTAAAACCTGAGTGCCCTGTTAGAAATAACAATTTTTTTTATATGCATGTATTTTTGATTGAAATGTGATATCAACTTTCAAGTTAGATTGTTAATGTTATTAATTAATCAGATATTTAACTCTCGTTTTGGTACTTCCGAAGTATGTGAACCAAGATGGCGGACACCGAAACATAGTATGTGTACCAGGTTAGGATTAGGCCATAATGTCGGGTACAAATACTACGGGAGTGACTTGGCTAGTCCCCGAACTCGTAATAGAACTAAAATTAGGAAAATTGGAATAAAATTATGGCCTAACCCCACCTGGTACACATTCTACGTTTCGGTGTCCGCCATCTTGGTTCCCATACCCTCGTTTTGTACTTTTGTTTGCTAGTATTTAATAGTTGAAAGATTGAATTTTTTGAAATTTAAATAAAATTGGCAGTTGACTTTGAATGTTTTGAAACTTTAAATTCAATCAAATTTCGGAATGTGTTCATCATGGTAGAGACCATTCTTTTTGTGATACGTTAGTTAATTAAAATCAAACTCTCATTTATCTTTTGCTTTTGTTTGAGCTTTTATTGATAATGTAATTGTTGATATTGCAGGAATCAGCGACATTGCCAAAGTTGAAAGAAGATCAAGGCAAGTAGTGTTTATAGATTTCAAATCAGTTCTTTGTTTTCATAGACTGCTTAAAATTGTTATAAAATCTGTTTTTGTTACTTTTTCAGCCGTCACAAATGCTGTAGAAAGCAAGTCAGTTGATATATCGGTAACTCTTGACACAACATCATCTTCAAAATCTGAAGAAACAGAAGCTGAAAAGTAAGTTGATTTGGACAATTTCTTTATATTGCCGGTATGTTTATTAGATAAATAGATAAATTGATAGATATTTTCACGCAGGAAATTGATGTAAAAATTTAAGTAAATATCGAAATTAATTTAATATTATCTTAGTGCCAGGCATAAGTAGACACTTTTGAGTTTTACTTGATATTAAGTAAATAACAACATTCCAGATCCAACCACATGATGATAATAATCTTATTCCTTGTCTAGGTCACCAAATATTGAGAGTGCTGATTCAGCAAAAGACGATTCAGTGATAAGTTCAAACTCTAAATGTTCAAATTCGTCAGGAGTGTCTGAAAATTTCAGAAAACCTATTGTTGTTCTACCTCGATCTGAAGTTTCTGGTAATGGCTTTTTTCGGGTTCGGTCTGCCTCCGCAGGAGACGATCTTCCGATGAGATCATGTGCAAGTTTAATAAAGTCTGGACATAGTGTCACTCCTGTGCTCAATGTGAAAGTTTCCAGTCCATTGAAAGAAAAAATGAATCTATCGATAGAAAAGGAAACACCCACAACAGCAATGACAGTTAAAGAAAACATCTTAGATTCCAAGACTTTGACATCTCCAACCAATCCAGCTATAACAAAATCAAATGAATCGAAACAATCACCAAACTCCAAACTATCAACAATTCCTCTTACAGTTCCCCTCTCATCTTTGTTTAAAGCCAGTGACGTAAAAACCCCTCAACTACTGAAATTTGTTCAACCTCTGCCTAAAGGAACAACTTTTTCAATCAACATGGATGCTTTGCCTGGTTCTGGTATTGCTAAAAGAAACAAAAGAAGTTTCTCAGCTGACCAATCACTAGTTAAAAACATAACACTCTCACCACTCAATGTTAAACCTGGTTCAAATCAACCTGGTTTGCAGTATCATATCATAAGTCCTCCATCCAAGCAAGGCCCAATAGTGAAGAAAACCAAAGTTACAAATCTACAGGTATAATATTTTGTGGAATATGTTTTCTTGGAGATTTTTCTTTCCTTTTCCTGTTAAGTTTCTTGCAGAATTTTGTTTAATTTAGTATAATTTATATATAATATTTTATTGTGAGCAATTATAATTTTTATCAGAGTTTATGAAAAAGCGTTTACACTACAGCATTCATGCCCATCTTCCATTCAATAAAAGTATAAAATCACTGGATACATCACTAATAGACACTTAGTTTGAAGTTTTTACATTTTATTTTAATTTCAAAGTATTTTTATTGTGTTTTCACATTTTCCATCTCCTGTACATGCAGATGTATTGACTTGGTTTGAAATGACGTAATGTTGTACATTCTCTAGGGTTGAGTTGAAACTTGAAAAAAAAACTCATTTTTTGCATTTTTTTAGTCTCCTGTTAGTCTTCAAACGTTACAAGCAGCTTTATCAACTGGTAGTTTATCAATATCAACTCAGCCTATGCAGAATAAAACACAGAATCAACCAGGTATGATGTTTTAAATTTTATATGTATAAGTTTGATCACTTGAAAATATGTTCCAGAATATAGCAAACCATTTTGAGTAGTATGTAATGTAAAGCAGCATGACATTCAGACTCAAAATATTGACTCAGTCAGGAAATTGCTGGTCACTGCACTGATGGTATTACAGTGTGGTAGGCACTTGCTTGAGGGTACTCTCGTGGTGTGTGTACCGGATTAGTGTTAGGCCATAATTTTATTCCGATTTTCCCTATTTTAGTTCTATTACGAGCTCCGGAACTGTCTGTTTTAGCCAAGTGAATATACCCACTGCCTGTAAAGTAGGCGAACAAACTTATTTACCTCCATATTGGTACACACATTTTTGGAGCGTCTGCTTGAGTCCTATTGTATCGAAGAAAATTAACTGCTGGTGGTGGGAAGTTGGTTTGTGTGTTACACATTTTTTGCACTTTTTGTTCATAGTAAAAATTATTTAACTCCAGTAAAATGCACAACTTTTCATTGCCATGTTATTTTTATAATCTATTTATTTTAGATCCAAGTCCAAAAAGTGTGAAACAAGACTTGAGTCTCGGGAAACAGAAACTTGTATTGGCCACTATTGTAAATCCAAAGGTAGCTGCACTATTTCTGTTGTTTGCATACCCACTAATATGGCAGATTGTAGACTAGATAACATAGATCAGTGTTCTTCAACCTTTTTTATCGAAGTATACCTTTTACAGTTTTTCAAGAACTTTGTACACCTTACAAATACCAATCTTCATTTAAGGCTCAAATAAACAATAAATTTTAAGCACATATTGTACTGCAATATCATCATGCAATCTAATAGGCTAGTGACCGCAAGTTATAAATTTGACTGACTGCCTTAGCGTCGACGGGAATAATGTTAAATGTAAATCAAACAAAGTGCATGGCAGCCGAAATCACCAACCCAGACACATGCCCGTATTATCTATATAATTTGTGATGTAACAACGTGCTCACGTCGGTTTTCAGCGTCAATAACATTTCACATTTCATGTGCGCCGCGTTTGCATTGTTGTATCCAATTGAATATTTTATAGGCTGTTCACCTTTCGTATACCTTTTATCAGTTGTATACCCAACTTATGGTCTGGTGTACACTTGGGTATACCGTATACCCGGTTGAAGAGCACTGACATAGATAATGTATGTCCTGGGATAGGAGTCTCTCAAAATGAAATGAAAGTTTTACCTGCATATAATTTGTTTTATTATTACAACTGTGATGCAAAATTGAGTGCTTTTTTATGGAAGTAATGAAATGAATTTAGGTTTCCCAGATACAGTAAGTCCTAAGTGAGGACTGCTTTCCAAGCATTGTGTCAGAGTGAATTTGTTTTTTGGCTAAATATAATTATCCTTTCCATGTGACATTTGTTAGAATTTTCTCACAGAATTTTTTTTATTAATTCTCTTACAAAAAATATTTTATTAATGATTTTTTTCTCATTTAGGGAAAACAACAACTGGCTTTGATAAATCCATCAACATTATCATTGGGAACATCGAAAAAGATTTTAACTATTGCAGGTGGAACATTTGTAATTATAATTCTTCTCCTGTTTATAGCAGGATTGTACTGTGAGATGAGATAATGACGATTTGTGTAATGGTTCCATCTATATTCTCTCCTAATCAAGACTCTCCCTCACCGTAGCTGCTTTTATTTTTTTATATAAAATATAACATACCTTGGTTCATTCATTTATTTTAGAAGCAAATAACTTCATCTTTTCAATTTACATTTTTAGTTATGGATGTATATCCATGCATTCACTATCATTTTTTAGGTAAGGCATTTTCAGTGTCAACTGTGAAACAATTACCACAGTCTAAGCAACCGATAAAATTGACAAAGGAAGTCACCTTGAGTCAGCAACAACAAAACAACACTCCTAAAGTTCTTGCTCCTATACATGTGGTAAGTTGAACTCCATCGTTATGGTAGCACTGTTTACAAATAACTAATTTACTGCTGTTGCAATTTCATAATAGTAAAGTATCCAGAACTATTCAATTGTAGTAAAGAAGTCGGTTTTGGGGACTTGAGTCCTGTATTCAGAGATTTCAAATGATTTGTAGATTGAATTATTTGAAATGAACTTTAATTCTGAAACTACTTATGGACTTTACTTAGGGCTCTAATATGATTTTTTGAGTGTTGAAAACATAGAATTCACAATATCAACTCGAAATAAGCTGGGTTATGAAAAAAATGTGAGGAGGAGCCTGTGGAATGGGGACCACAATGCTAGGCGCAAAACTGATTTTACTTCCCCCTTTACAAGAAAAATCAGTTCTTCTTATAGATCCATTGCTTGATAAGGTTATTTCACAGGGTGATTTTATTTTTGTTGAGAATCTACCAACCAAAATAACACTATAAATACCTCTGGAATGATAAACAGGCGGGCCATGAGTGCTAAAAAGCCCTAGGAGGGAGCCACGAGCCATAAAAGGTTAGGCACCACTGGTTAGGGGACTGTTACTCAATGCCGCCAGGCAGATATTATAAATCATCATTGATTGAAGTTATTTTTTCTGTTCAGCGAATAGGTGATCAGGTTGTAATAAACAACAACACATCTTCAATTGTGGATGATATTCTTCCACATGTTATCAAAAGAATTCCACTGATTAAAGAAAATAGAAATATCACTGAATTTCCATTTTGTGCTAAAACTGAGTCTGAATTTTTGGAATGGAATGTTGGAAAACAACGAGCATCTGAGGTGAAAATTTTTATGAATAAAATCATTGTTTAATATCATGATGACAATTTTGCCTATGTTATTTTTTATTAGAAAAGAGCTGTACAGAAGCGTGGTGGTACATTATACCAATTTTGCTTATGTGATAAATGCTCATGTTAAATTTGCAAAGCACCGAATTTCTTCATTTAAAGTGCTAATGTTTAAATCAATATTCGCATGATTGCTCCACAATGCTGAAGGTTGTTTTAAAATTGTGAAAATCCAACAATTTAAGTATTGAAAATAAAAATTGTTCAGCATACCTGTGGTGCTTTCAACTGTTCTGTCAGTGATGCTCCCTCTTAGATGAAGACTCGCGACTTTTCTTTCAGCAATTTTAGATTCCTGATTCTTGACTTATTAAATTATCTCTAGTTCTTGTATCATTTTATATTCGATCAATGGAGTTGAATTAAATTTAATAATTTGTCTCATTCCCTTTTTTTCAGTGGCAAAGAGCTGTTTTGGTGCATAAAGTTTTAAAATATATCCAAACAAAAAGTGAGAAACTACAAAAATGTGAGCTTCCAACAAAGAGATTCATCATGAATTGGTGTTTAAGACATGGCTATTCTGTTTTCACTGATGGTAAGATTGAAATGATCAAGATATCTTTATAATGTCATGACAAATACTCTACTTTGTGCTGTTTTCGACAGAATATGAAGAAGAAACCGATCAAATGGAAGTTGATTCTAAGAATGGGGAGAATGTGTTAGGAAATGTTCCATCAACCATCAGTATTGCAGAGGAACTGATAAAATCACTGGAATCATTGAAGGAAGATAATGCAAGGTAGATTGTCAATTTATCATATATTTTAAAATTGGTCTTTTTATATATACTACAGGGAGGTATATTAACCGTTTGGCTTCTATTATTTATGTAGAGCGTTATGGGTATATCCCATAATGCTTGAGAGTTGTGAATGAGTATCCAATAAGACGAAAAATGAGACCTTTGAAAAAGAAGGTATTGCTCTTATTCAGTTCATATTGAGATAGTGTTCAGATTATGTGAAACGGTTTATTCCATTAAAATGAAATTATTCACTTCTGTTGTGTCTGTAGTTTCAATATAATTAAAAAATAATCAATGAAATTTCTTATTGAATATCGAAGAGTTGTTCAATACTGAGGTTATACTTTATCATTCAAATCATTGATCTGAATCGTCGTTTTCAATTTCAGGGAAGATAACTCAAAAGATGATGAAGATGTTATATTTGTTGATGTTGTTAATGTTGATAAACCAGTGATTGAAATGTCTTCTATTAAACTTGAACCTAATGCTGATGTTAATATGGAAGTTTGTTCTGATGCGAATACCAATGCGGAATTTACCAGAATTCAGTCATTAGCATGTTTACCTGAAGTGTCTGTTGTTGAAGAGATCACAAGAAAGGTGACAATTTTAAAGCAGATTTCTGTGGGCAATTGCCCTTGACTCTACTTGTTATAGTGGTCTGGATGTGTTAATCAAAATTAATTACTGTACATTCTTTATGCATGGTATTGCTTGCGGTTTTTAACATGGTCTTTAGACGCTCCAGAGGTATGTGTACTAATATGGAGGTAACTAATTTTGTTCTCCTACTTTACATCATGAAAGGTATAAAGGGACTGAAACCTATGGGCAGGGGGTATATTTACTTGGCTAACACAGACAGTCCCCAAACTTGTAATAGAACTAAAATAAGGAAGATTGGAATAAAATTATCGCTTAACCTTAACCTGCTACAGATACTACGGGAGTACCATAAAATAAGATATCTGCTGTACTTCCACTTGTATTTGTGTTGGTTTTTGTTTAAAAATAACGGTTTTCTGTTGTTTTTAAGATCGGATTACAATTGCAAAAGACCGATGGTTTTCCAATCTGCCATGTTATATTTGCGAAGGCGGTTCAACAGTTTGCAAGAACTTTACTTCGAAAATCTCTTAGTGTTGCATTAAAAAGGTTAGATGTAAAATAATTTTATAATGAAGTAATAGAGTCGATCAATCCATAGATTTTGCTCCTCATATCTGTCGAGTATGCTTCCTAACTACACTTAACCTGATGATAATATTATTGCATTTAAACTACCTATATATTGGCTAGTTTTAGTTCTATGAGTATGTTTACAAATAATTCTTTGCAGTTAAGTTTATCAAGTCATGAGTTGTTGCATGAAACTGCAGATTTAGTTGATACTGATGCTATTATTTCCAGGCGAGATGGCAAGTCATTGAACAGAGTTGCTCCTGGTGACATTGATGTGCTAGATGTTGCCACTGCAATTCGTGAAACTTCTACGTTTGATTTTCTTACTGATGTCAATACTGCTAGTGCCAATCTAACATAGCAGTACGCAGTGAATAAATGAGATGCAAGATTAATGGCCAACCAGTAATGAGGCATATCTTTTTTCATTTGTGCAACATGAATTGAGGGGAAGTTTTTTTTTACTTCAGGGAGACTGAAAAATCTTTACACTTATTAAATACACAGAAAATTGTGATATGGTATTGTATTTTGACTGTTTTGTCACTGCCAACTTTTTTTTATTTCCAAATAATACTGTCGAGAAAATGGGTTGATGTGTGATTTTTCAGATTTTTCCTATGCTTCAGATTTATGTGGACAAACTTGTGGAGCAGTGAATTATGATGAATTATGGGCTAGTCAGCTTTGCAGGGAGTTAATTTGTGGAAATTTTGTCGAGGATTTTCATGATCTAACTGAAGTGGAAAACGCTCACAAATATAAAATAGGTATTATTAATAGCGAGCAAAACCGCCGTTGAAGTTTAAATTAGACCAATAAAATTCAGTGGTCGCCAACATACGAGGGTGTGTGAGGAAGCTTGCGATGCCCAACAATAAAGAAAGAGACAAGGCTGTTTAATTTTTTTTTTGGATATACGACCTAATATTTGGTATTTTATCTTCATTAACCTGGAACTGGTTTCAGCAATCTCTGTGCCTTGAGGCGTACCGTTGCGCACGACATCAGTGTCAATGTATTTTAGCATTGCGTTCTTGTTTGATTAGGTTATCCAAAGCTCTCAAATACAGAAAGATAATTTTGCAGTGGCGGTTATTGCTTCGTGACATAAAGAAAACGCTCTCGATACAGAACTAAAAACCGTATACGTAGATTTAATGGGGTATTATTCGGGTTTTAAGGAAAATGAATTTACCGTTATGAGTGGTCATTCGTGAGTCTTCGCTATCGTGCGACTAAAATAAAATTGATTGTTAGCAAAGCCTTGACTTGACAAAATGTGAGCACGGAATACCTAAAGATTCACGAGCAATATTTTCATGAAAACTTCGATTTACCCTGATGGGGGTTCTTTTTGACATTCCAATTATGTTGTTTCTAAATTTTATCGATTACACACAATCTGCACCGTATTACAACTTATCGTGTCCACCCAGGTTTGTGCCAAGTTTTTGGGTGAGTAGCGACTGCAAGACGACAGTTGGCGCGCAGACTGATAACCAACAGCTTGACCTGATAAAAACATTAAAATAACGTAATTTTTGACAAGGTTATAGTTCCTGACATTATTTATTGTAAGGAGACGTGGATTCCAAATCGGCGACTACAAAGTTTTTTTTGTCTTCATTACGGTTCGATACGTCTTTAAGAAGGGTAAGACGGTGGTCCTTTGCAAAATATAGGATATGATTCAAATGTTTATCCCGGGGAAAGGGAATCCGATAAGACGACTAAATCATATGCAGAACCACGGCCTCTCACCTGTTACCAGTCCATGTCGTGTATGGGATTAATTAGCTACTTATTTGTCTCAGATGCATGAACTTGATAGTGGCGGCGAGGAGTCTTAACTCTCCTGTCGCACGTAATTATCCCCACGGCATGCGAACCCACGCAGGGTAATCAAAGGTGTGATGGCAATCGCACTCTAATGCTTAGCACAATTGGCCACACCCCGAATGGCGCTAGTATGCTTCCATTATAATAATCCCGTTGGAAATAGATCAAAGATCACTGAGATGATCTTCCCGCTGAATGATATATTCTGCTTTGGTGTTAGGTCGCAATAGTTCTAATCTGACTGTCTGTCATCCGTAATAAATGCTTGCTAAATAAAATACAAAGCATCTTAAATAAATGCATATTGTGATTGATTAGACTAGACAACACGTGACAAATTATCTTCGCGCTCATGACATTTGCACCCATAGATTCCAGTACCCGCATACAGGCTGTACCTGGACATTTTTACCAATGAATGTTTGCACTAGCGAACATTTTCACCCTCATACTTATGTATTCCGACAAAATTTCTTTACTAAATATTTTGAAGATCAAATCTGCTTGCAAATTGGAAGTGCAACTTTGATTACCATCGTCAAGTTTTTATAGTCATTACAAGTAATAATCCTAACTCACATTAGTCTTTTTTTTTCAACAAAAGTACTACAATATGCAACAGACAGCCTACTCACTTTGAATTGGACTAGCTTGGCAATTAATGAGGAAGTTTACCTATTTCGCCAGGTGTCATATTTGACAGCATTGGGCGGAGGTAACAATGAAGTTTAATTGGACTCAGCGGGGATTTGGCGAATTGTGCATCTCTGTAGTGATTTTAGGTCAGGTTTGAGTCTTACCTATCACGAGATGAGTATGCAAAACTTAACACTCAATGCATTAGTTTTTAAAAAAGTTGAAATCAGATTTTTCTGAAAGTCAAGTCAATGAAATCAAGTGATATTGTGATTGTGTTTCTCCATAGTAAATATATATATATGAGAGAATAATAAGTTTGTGAAAACGCGTTTTCAGATTATTGATATGGCTACTGATTACTGAAAGTAAAAACGATATTTATATTTGTATATATATATATGTAAAATTTAAAAGACAGCAAGTAAAAATCAAAGTTCCAGAGGAAGTTGTCAATAAGAGCTTGTCTGATCTCAGCGATCTGGAGGTAGGTGGCTGAGGGAGGAGATGAAATGAGGTTCATCAGAGTATTCATTAAAAAATTGTTACCGCTAATTGCTAACTGGTTAAGGCATTCCATGTTCACAAAATCAGGTCTTTCAGTGCCGCGTTACCTCATTTTACAAGAACTTGAACATATTCTGACAAGTCGATTCAAGACGATATGCTGGTACGTCACCAACCACTAAATTGGCTTGATTTAAATTTTAAATAATAAAAACTAACATTGAGTGATTAGAGTGAAATAATATGTTTAAATAGTTTATGTTTGGCAAATCTATTTTTTATTTAAGATAAAGAGTCGTGTCACAAAGTCATAACGGTCTTTGAACACTTGCTCGCTGAAATGTGTAGATGAAACCCACATGACGGCACAGCAGGGCCGAATTTACCATTAGGCAAGGTAGGCTGGTTCCCGGGGGTCACAAGCCTTGAGGGGGCTCGGCATTTAATTTTAAGTCGTATGTAAATTGTAAAGGCTTGTTCCAGAATAAAACCGATTTAAATGTTATAAAACTGATGATTGTTTAATTTCCCAATCAGATTACTAATTCTTATTCCACATTATTTCCCGTTTGAAAAGTTGAAACATAAAAAACATAAAAATTTTTACTATTTCGGATCGAAGTTTAGCAAAATTTGGGTTGAAACTGAAGGTTCTGAGGAAATTAAATAAAAATGAAAAGAAGAGGATTGGAACAATCAGTTCAGGAGAAACGATAATTCATCACTAGGGATGTAAGTTTCGAATATTTTATTTTCGAATCGAATTCCGAATCGGAATGTTCCAATTCGAATATTTCCGAATCTGATTCTATTTAGTATAACATCATATTATCGTTAACTTATCTTAAATTTGGAAGAACTATAGCAGAAAGTGTGATAAGATACCAATAATGAACTTGAAGAATGAGTATAGTTAGTAGAAAAACCCATTGAATGGTTGCATCAACTACCTAGTCCTAATATATTAGAGAAGTTTTGTGTAGTTTGTATAGTGATCGTTTCTTCTGAAATTAACTTTCAATACTCATCCAAATGATAAACGCCGGTGAAACATGTGTTAGTACCGTTTGTGCCGTATTTTTAGAGGAAAGCAAATGATACCGAGGGAATAAATCGCAGACCTTTGTTTTAAATGAGGAATAATGTTGTTATTATAATGACATTACATAGGTAATTTATAGAAACGTTTATATAATGTTAGATTTGTAAAACTTCTTAACATTTTGAATAGTCTAAAAAACATTGTTTCCTCTAAAGCTGTGACCCATGTAAAATACTCATAGTGTTCCGACTCGGGAACGCTGTAAACATAGGAAAAATAAACGCATTTGGTCGATGATGAGATGGAATATAACAACCCCCGAGTGTTACGACTTGGGAACGCTTTAAACGCAAGGAGAACAAACGCTTTTGGTCGGTGCTGAGACTCGTCTCCGCATCGTGCAATCGCCGCGTGTTATCTAAATTATCATTTTTTAAAAAAATAGAATGAGCCATTTTTTCTTAAATTGCTTCGAATCGATTCGAATTAGGTTTGATTCGAATCGCTTCGATTCGAAATTCTGAAACCTGTAGGGATTATTAGTAGTTAATTAGACCATATTTTTAAATTTGGTGCCCTGAACAACTGAATGCAACCTTCTTGAGAGGAACAGATCAACGGAGGAACACAACCAGCAACGACGACAGATCAATGCACGGAATCTCAAAAAAAAAATAGAGGAACACAAGATAAGTTCACGTTAATATTATATCCTATAAGTCGCATATACGAGTCCATGCTAATCTAATAGATCTCCTATCTTTCAACAGTTAACGACATTTTACGATTATCGACGAAAAAACAACTCTACGACATCGACACGAGGATCCGGATCAGCGACTATTGACGCGAAGAAGACGAAATCGCCTAAGGATATTTCTACGGACATTCCGTATTTTATTCAATTTACTGCATATTAATTTTGGTATGTACTGCAATTTTCTTTCCTATTTCTTTTGTTATAATCCGTATCTCCCATGAGAGCTAGTGTCTTCCCATTTGATTTATTTAAAAAGGCCAAATCTAATTTAGCTCCAACCGATAAGAGTAGTAAATTACATAAGCCAGAAGACGTATTAAAACCACCTTTAATTATTAAATCTCAGTTGCCCGATAATAATAATATGCAGTCAACTAAGCAGTCGCCTAAACCGTCGTCTAGTCAAAATTATGATCTATTCGAACCTATACCTTCGTCGTCGTCAAATAGGAAACCGCTATCACATTTTAGATATAATGATCGTGATAATATTAAAATCCCGCAATTTTGGGTTCACTCTCCCCTTTTATGGATTCGATGTGTCGAATCTGCTTTTTCTAGAGCTGATATTACATCAGAAACAAGAATGTTTGATGAAGTATTAGCTGTTCTTGATAGTTCAATAATTGAAAAAATAGGGGCGGATTTGCTAGACATAAGCGCTACAAATCCGTATACGGAACTTAGAGAAGCCCTAGTAAAAAATTATGCACCGACGGAAGACCAAATGATTTCGTCATTTCTTAACTCAGGGGATTTAGGTGACCAACTGCCGTCAGATTTGCTAAAAAAATTAAAATTACTTATAAATCCAGATCATAGAGGGGACCCTTTTGCTCGTGCTTTACTGAAAAAATTATTTTTGGAAAAATTGCCTAAGGCAATGCAGTCAATTCTAGTTGCGTCGGACGATGATAGTTTAGAAGAGTTAGCAGAGAAGGCCGATAAGATTTAAAGAAATTCTAATAATTCACCTGATTCAAGTTATATTAAAACTCAGACCCAAAATAAGTTGATGGAAGCTTAAATTAATACGTTAACTGATAGTGTTAATGCTTTAACTAATCAGTTGCAAAATCAATCTTTAACTTCAAATAATACTGATATTAGAAGTTTTATCCGAGGTATCCAAGATATAATACTAATTGGCAGCCCAGGGGACGTTTTCAATCGAACTTTAGACAGCCCTTTAATAACCATAGATTCTCAGCTCCGAATAGATTTCAAAATTCACCTAGGAACGGTAATTTCAATTACCGTTATTCCAACCCAAACACTTCATCTCCTAGCGGATGGTGTTTCTATCATTCGACTTTTGGTCGAAATGCTTTTAAATGCGAGCCTGGCTGTACGTTTAAGGGAAAAGGACTGGCCACTCAGTTTCGACGCTAACTAAGCGTGGCACATCTCACTCTAATAAGCGTCAATTATTTTTATACGATCCCGATTCCAATAATAAGTTTTTAATAGATTCGGGAGCTGAAATTAGTATTTTGCCATCAAGTAAATATGCCGTTCATAGGAAATGTCATAAAACTTTACAAGCAATTAATGGTACTTCAATATCTACCTTTGGTAAATTACGTTTAAATTTAACTTTTAACCACGATAATAATAATAATGATGAATGATGAATAATAATGATGATGAATATGAAGCCTTATTAAATAAATTCCCACAGATATTGATAGAAGACAATAAGTCACCGAAGCGTAAACATAATGTTAGTCACAGAATAGTAACAACCGGATTTCCAGTTCATGCGAAACCGCGACGTCTAGCGCCATTAAAAGCAGTCGCCGTTAAAGCCCAAATTAATAAAATGTTAAACCAGGGAGTTGTATCGCCCTCTAGTGGAGAGTGGTCATCACCCATCACAGTAGTCCTTAAGAAAAATGAGGATATAAATAACCCAGACCATTATCGCTTGTGTGGGGACTTTAGATTACTCAACCTACAGACTAAGAAGGATACTTATCCTATACCCCATATTCAATCTTTTACCAATGAAGTTAGGGGGTGTACTGTTTTTTCAAAAATTGACTTAAAATCGGCTTATTTTCAAATTCCGTTACACCCGGATAGTCGTGAAAAATCTGCGATTACTACGGGGTTTAACAAGATTAAATGGAACGTCATGCCCATCGGCCTTAGCAACAGTCAGGCTAGCTTCCAGCGGTTAATAGATGATGTTACTAGGCAATTAACTAATGTATTTGCATATGTTGATGACATTCTTGTATATAGTAAAACTGTAGACGAGCATAAGCAACATTTGCATAAATTATTTGAAACTTTAAATGAATATGGCCTAGTAATTAACAGAGAAAAGAGTTCATTTGGAGTTGATAAGCTAATCTTTTTGGGTTTTTTAGTTGATAAGGAGGTTATTAAACCAATGGAATCTAAAGTTAAAGCGTTAAGAGAATTTCCCTTACCTCAGACAAAACGGCAGTTACGATCGTATTTAGGCGCCTTCACGTATTATCAACGGTTTTTACCCAATTGTGCTTGTATTTTAGCTCCTTTACATGAACTAGCAGCCAATTATGTTTCTAAAAATCAGCCTGTAATATGGACAGCCGACACTAAATTAGCTTTTGAAAAGTCCAAAAATGCTCTGAGTGATTTTATTATGTTTAATCACCCGAAACCGGATGCAGAACTTTCCATAGCCGTTGACGCAAGTCTAACTGGTGTTGGTGCTATCTTACAACAAAAGATAGGAGAGCACTGGGAACCTCTCTCAGTTTTCAGCAAAACTCTCAATACTGCCCAGCAAAAATATTCTACATTTGATCGAGAACTTCTAGCAGTCTTTCTAAGTATTCGTCACTTTCGCTACTATGTTCAAGGTCAGGAATTCTTTCCGATCACAAACCTCTTTCTTTTGCTCTGCACAAAAACATGGAGAGAACTTCACCTCGGCAAAGCAGACATCTCGATTACATCAGTCAATTCACTTCTGATATCAGATATAAACCTGGTTCTGCAAATATCGTAGCTGATGCTCTATCCAGATCAACAATTGCAGCGATTTCCGATCTTTCTCCTTCTCTTTCTCTTACTTCTATCGCTCAAGAGCAAAACACGGACCCAGAAATACAGGCATTGTTAAATAATCCCATGAGTTTACAATTAGACTTTGTTGATACCTCAGTTCCAGGCTCAACTTCAATTTGTGATTCTAAATTACCCAATAAGAGACCAGTTGTACCTAAGAAATTTAGGCAACAAATTTTTGACACTTTGCATAATCTTAGCCACCCTGGACTTAGAGCTACTCAGCATTTAATTCAAGCTAGGTATGCATGGCCAAATATGATTCAGATATTAGGAAAATGTGTCGAGCTTGTATCCCATGCCAGAAATCTAAAATAACTAGACATACTATTTCACCCTTACAACCTATTTTAGCTCCCAATAAAAGATTTTCAGAAGTAAATACTGATATAATTGGACCTTTGTCAGTTTCGAACGGTTATTCTTATTTATTAATTACGGTTGATAAATTTACCCGTTGGGCCGAAGTAACGCCAATGCGAGATATAACTGCCGAAACTGTCGTTAAAACTTTTCTTTTATCATGGGTAAGTAGATTTGAATCTCCAACGGTAATAACTACTGACCGGGTGCTCAATTAGAAGTTCTTTGTGGGACAAAATGATAAATTTTTTAGGAAGTCAGCATATATGTACTACAAGTTATCACCCTTGTAGTAATGCAACTGCTGAACGACCATTAGACAAATTAAGCTTCACTTATGGCACAATGTTCAAAAACCACGAGTGGTATCAAAATTTAAGTTTAGTTTTGTTAGGGATACGTACTGCAATAAAATTAGATTTAAGTTTATCCTCGGCGGAATTAGTATACGGATCATCCTTACGTTTACCTGGGGATTTTTTTTTCAAACAATATAAACCAGGACTTAGAATCACCTAATGAATTTATAGCGCGTCTTAGACAATTCGTCCAAGACTTAAAACCAACAAACCCAAGATTACCAGAAAATAGAAAAACCTTCATATTTAAAGAATTAAAAGATTGCACACATGTTTTTTTACGTGTTGGATGCAGTTAAAAAACCTTTGATACCGCCCTATATTGGTTCCATTCCAAGTGTTAGAAAACATGCAAAGTACTATAAAATAGATATTAATGGTAATCCTCAAACTGTTAGTATAGATAGAATAAAACCGGCGCATATCGAAACAGAACTAGAAATACCAACTGAGCCGAATACTGAAACAGCGTTATTGTTTTTAAACAGGCCTGAACCGCCAACAACAACGCGTTCCGGCAGAACGACACGCCACAACCGCCAGCATGATTACGCTTATTATTAGTTTTCTCGTAAATGTATGTATATATTCTTATGCTTTTCCTTTTAACTCCCTAGCCCAACAGTGTCAGTGAATTTTTGTGATCCAAAAGTACCCGTAGCAGAATATGCCATACCGGAACCACCAAATTGTAAACGAAATACTATCACCCGCGTAGATTATTGCGATGCCACGGTACATAAATTATCTTCAGCATACACTAATATTACAGTGTATGTCTGCCAAAAATCTGTCACAGAATGGCAGGCAACTAGATTCTTTTTTGGTTCGATTTATGACAAATCTAAATCTTATATGGCCGATCCTCCAACTTCTTTATATTGTCAAGATTGGGTTCATTCTCTCAAAGCTGAAAATATTGGTGATTTGAAAGTAACCTCAGAAAATACTTGGTCTACTGATAATGAAGTAAAATACGAATATAATTGGCCAACAACCACAACTGGGAAAATTTTTAATGCACATTTGGCTCTTACAACAATTTATTATGACCATATAAAAGGTATTCTTTTAGGCCCATTTTCAGGATTATCCACTTGCAGTATTACTTCCGGATCTTGTACTGTAGGTACTCAAACAATTATTTGGAAAAATTACCCATTAATAGATTGTCCCCCTTTTAAAAATTTCAATTCGAAAATGGCATTGCATTATAATGCGTCGGGTGACATTTACCGATTAGACTTTCCGGAATTGGGAGCCAGCATCCACCAATGGGGTTCATGTGGTGCTTATGTTCAAAGATGTTTTAATACAAAAACATTTTGTACAAATAATGCACTTTTATTTGAAACTCACAAATGTTCTTCATTGAAAGCTGCTGGTTTCATCAATTCTAAATACCCAAAACTAAGGTATAGTTCCGTAGTGGTAGATTCTGTTTCTAGCACTCTGACTGGCTTTATTCAGGAAAATACTGACAGGGTAACCGAGGTAATTGTTAATATATCATCAGACATCAATTACCTCGAGTGTCAACTGGAAAGTATTCTAACCCGAATATACAAAACTCTAAGTAAACAATATCCAGGTCAAATTTTAAATGAAGTGTTAGGAGGCAAACATGCTGCTATAACGGTAGGGGATATCCTCACAGAAATACACTGTGAGCAAATAAACGTTACTATATTACGATCACTATACTATAATAATACTTATGCAACAAGGCCACTTGTAACGTTTCTCAACAAAAATAATGTTACCATAGTTGCGCAGATATTTACAGATACGAATGTCTACGCAGGTATACATTTTTTTGAAAACTTCGTCTCCGGACGAACGTTTACTTTTGCAATCAATGGGCGATACTATACGTATATCAATTACACGCTAACTCATACAAATGCCCACATACAATCTCTAAGGCCTTCTTTAACCAAAATCAACGAAACCTTTAAACCAATGGAATATCAAAAGATATTCCAAGATATGCCCCACGGAGGACACTCAGGCTTCGAAGATCTCAATAATATTCTAATTTCGATCAATCACCTGAACTTGATCAAAGAAAAGATATTATTGGATCACAAGTCGTCCTCCGAAACAAATACAAACAACCAATTTACTACAACTAAAAACAAAGTTGAAGACAACTTTGTAAACGCTTTAT